GCGAATGTGAGGTAAGATATGTATGGACTCAAATGCTGGGTGGCTGAGATGTCGTCACACTTTTGTTATGTATCTCAACGTGTGTTCCAGTCGTCGGAGGTCAAGAGACATGACGTGAGGGTCCCTTCCGTCGGCTTCATCCGAGGGAGCATCAGTGTCAGAGGCCGAGTTCGAGTCAGTGTCCGTGTCATCCTTGCGCTTACCGCGCCTCCCCACAATGGGGAGCGGGAAGAAAACTACAAAATCTAAGCGGAAGGCGTGTGTTTGGAAAGAAAGAGATCGGAAAATCGATGGAAACGACGATAAGAAAAAGAACTCCGTGGCAGTAAGCCGCAACAGGAGCATCCGCTTCTATTTGGAACTGTCTTGCCAATTGGGCGTAGCCAGCGAATGGGTCGGCGATCGGGTCTTGTGTCCCTGTGTCATCGACATTTAGTTTAGTTTATTTGGTTTGAGGCGTTTCGGCCCGTTCCTATCATTCCACGACCAATTAAGCGAAAAGGTGTGTTTGGAGCTAGTGCGAACGGAAAAGCGATGAGAACGACGATGCGAAAAAGGACTCCCTGGCTGAGTGCCGCAAAAGGAGCAAACCACTCGCTGAAGTCTTGTCAGACGGATGTATGGCCACCGAATGGGTCGACGAGAGTTTGTGTGTGATCGTATGTGTGTGTCATCGACATTTAGTTTAGTTTAGTTTATTTGGTTTGAAGCGTTTCGGCCCGTTCGGACCATTCCACGCCTTTAAAGGGTCTATTTCAACTCAAACATATATATGTGTTTTGAACAAAGAAAAAACGCTACATCTTATCCTTTCACAAAAATTGAACCATTTCGGTACGTTCAAGAAAATTGAATAAAAGGTTAAGAAGATGTGGATGGTCATTACCTAGGAGGACTTCTAACGAAAATGCAACATTGTGGTGGCGACAGTATGTTTTCAGTGTGTTCCGCTGGTGTTGAAATTTGTCACATTCAAGCAAAATATGCTTACCCGAAAGGGGACGATTGCACTGATGACATAGGAGGCGCGTGTGTTTTAAATATAAATAAGTATGTGTAAGCTTTGTGTGTCCGATTCGAAGACGTGCTAATACCTGTTCTTCCAAACGGTCTGGACGGTTTACCGACGTACCGACATTGGCGTTGCCAAGGTGCAATTTCCGGCTTAATGTCGTGAAGCTGTGTCCTGGTGGTTTCCGTCCATTGTCGTTGCCAAACTTGTTTTGCGAAATTTTGAATGACCGTTTTTATTGAAGTATGGTCAACAGGAACTGGTGTTATGTTAGGGGACGCCAATGCTTCCTTAGCCAACTGGTTGGCCCTTTCATTTCCTGTGATACCCGGATGGCCTGGCGCCCACAAAAGTGTAACGTCCATGTCTTGTGTGCATGAAGAATGATAAATGTTAATAATACGAACAACGAGGTGGTGAGTGAGGTCAGGGTTAATAAGGGACAAAAGACCCGCCCTAGAATCCAAGCAAATTACTATGGGCCTGGTCCTATGATTTTGTCGTTTGATATGCTTCAAAGAAAGAAATAAAGCAAACAGTTCTGCAAGATATACGGATGTTCCATCGGGTAACCTACATTTTTGTGAGTAATGGCCGTTACAGAGTGTCGCGCATCCGGTGTGGTTCTCAGCCATGGAGCCACCGGTATGTATAAAGCGACAGTGTGGATAATGTGCGATCGTGCGACTGAATTTTTGTTGCACATAAGCTGTTGTGACGGTGCGCTTAGAATCAGTAAAAAGAAGCATAACTTTGCGAGGTGCCAGCTGCCAAGGGGCTACTGCTAAGTCAGGTGGCACGGAGGCTCGCGGAAGGACGTAATTTAAACTATGGCAAGAAACATTGATACGTGATGCAAGTATAAGGCCCGAGCGACGCTCTGCTGGTCCTAAGTGTGTATGATGAATCCGTGGCAATATATGTGTGGAGGCAAATGCTGGGTTACTTGGATTTTGTCTTATCTTTGTGACGTACCTTATAGTGTGCTCAATGCGTAGGAGGGCTAAAGGCATAATGAAGGCTTTTACTTCGGCGCCGAAATTGGGGATGTGAGCAGTGCTCCTTGTGCAAGTCGCAAGAACATATTTTGTGCAACAGTTAGGGACTTCAGACTGCCTTCCGTGCCACCTGCATACACCACTGATCCATATTCAATAATAGAAAGTGCCTTGATCCCGAGATGCACCCAAACAAATTCAAACGCGTGACGCATTTGGTGCGGACATGTTCAGCGTGCTTGGACTAGGACAACCTCGGGTCGAGAACGATGCCTAGAAATTTGAACGATGAAACAAAAGGAATATTGCGTCCGTCCAGTTGGAGAGAATATGTCGGTGTATCTCGTCGCCCTTTACTGAAAATCATAACGGCTGAATTTTTAGCGGAAAAATAGAGACCATAACGTATTGACCATTGTTTTGACTTGTGAACGGCGTTTTGAAGGCGTGGCAATGAGTGATCATATTCTTCATCTGAGGACCAAATCGCGCTGTCATCCGCAAAAAGTGACGACGATATGCTTGACGGGAGATCATCAAATAAATCACCTATCATTAGGTTAAAGAGCAGTTGAGATATACAGCTCCCTTCTGGAAGACCGTTCTCTTGAATGTGAACATTAGACACCGCCGATCGGCATCTTACACGGAACGGCCGCGCTGCTGAGAGAAATCCCACAAGATAGAGTGCCAAGTGTCCTTTAAATCCTATTTTTTTTTGTTTAAAAATTAAAGCTGGTTTATATAGCATATCATAAGCGCAAGTAACATCCAGAAACACAGCAGTGGCTTGGCGTTTTTGGCGAAATGCGCGACGAATATCTATTTCGAGACGAATGATATGATCACAGGTGGTACAGTTACGTCGAAATCCACATTGCTGACCCGATATGAGTTTTTACAATCCTTTATCCAGGCAAGGCGTTTGCCAACCATGTGTTCCATAAATTTTCCCAAGCAGCTGGTGAGCGCAATTAGACGGTAGTTGACCGTGTCGTGTGAGTCCTTGCCTGGTTTTGATATCATAATTATTATTGTTTCCTTCCATGCTTCCGGAAAAACATGAGAGAACCACAAATCATTGAACATTTTCAATATAAATTGAAGCATGCTGTCAGGTAGGTGACGGAGGAAAGCGTAATGTAGCTCATCCTGGCCTACTAAAGTGTTACCGGTGGATTTGATCACATCACAGAGCTCTGAGAAGGAACATGGTACATTGCAGTCATCTGTATTGTCGAAAAAAGGCAATGGGGATGTAAATGAAGTTGGGGCCCCGCCTGATCTATGAACCCTGCTCTGTAATTGTCAGACGAGCTACAATGTGCTAGACTTTGGGCAAGAGCCTTCATGACCTGCGGTGATTATGTAACTAAAGCATTGCTGATTCGGAGAGCTGGATGAGAAATAGACGGCCGCTTACCAGAAAGTGTGCGAACTAATCCCCAAATTTTGCTTAACGGAGTAGATCATGTAACTTGTTGTAGGGAGTTTAACCAGGCCCAACGTTTGGCGGCTCTTATGATTCTCCTGGCTCGCCCACGTTCAGAGTTGCGGGCGAGTAAATGTGGAATATCGTGATTGCGTTGATAATTTCGAAAAGCACGTTTAGTCTGGCATGGCCTTTTTAACTTCATCTGTTCACCACTGTCATCAACATGGCTCGGCTCGACTACATCACTTGACGGCAGCAAACATCTGCTTAGTTATGGTAGTCAATATGCCATCAGCGGCCAAACAATAGCTATACTAGCAATTGCTCTGTGGTAGGCATATCACTCATATCATTTACCAACATTAGCAGTGCAGCGAAGCTGTGGAGACACACACAGTTCTCACACGACACACAATGTCACACCCACACCCACACACCCACACCCACACCCCCCCCCCACACCCACACACGCACACCCACACCCCCCCCCCCCCCACACACGCACACCCACACCCCCCCCACACACACACACCCCACACACACGCACACACACACACACACACACACACAGCAATTGCACTCGTTGGCGCCACCTATTGGTGACCCACACGACGAGGTGTTGACCTCGTGCCACCACAACATCACCCAAAAATTACCGGCTGACTTTCAACTTACAAACATCAGAATGTTGCCACAGAAGACCCTGTCGGTCAGTGTTCCAATATTCCTTCAAGGTCAATATTTAAGGTACACATTCTGATGTTTGCAAGTTTAAATCGGCCGGTAATTTTTGGGTGCTATGGAAGCCCCCGCTCTTTAAGCCCACGTTTGACCTTGAAGAATAGCCTTAAGACAATGACCTTGAGGGGTCAGGACTTTGTCACGGACGTTAGATCTTGCCGTGGTGAATATTCTGACAGCGGCAGGTTTAAAATCGGCCGGTAATTTTTGGGTGATGTGGAGTTCCCGTCTTTTGGGCCCGCGTCTGACCTTGGAGACTAACCTTGAGAGGTCAGGACTTTTTGACGGAAGGTAGTTTTTTCTGTGGTGAATATTTTGACCTTTGCAAGTTGAAAATCGGCCGGTAATTTTTGGGTGTTAGGGAGTTCCCCGTCCTTTGAGTCCACGTTTCACGTTGAAGAATGACCCTGAGAGGTCAGAGCTTTTTCACGGACGCTGGCTCTATCTGTGGTGAATATTTTGACATTTGCAAGTTGAATATCGGCCGATAATTTTTGGGTGATATCGAGTTCCCCGCCCTTTGAGTTCGCGTTTGGCCTTGAAGGATGACCTTGAGTGGTCAGAACTTTTTGATGGACTCTAGTTTTTTTCTGTGTTAAATATTCTGACATTTGCAAGGTGAAAAACAGCCGGTTATTTTAAATGATTTTGAGTTCGCCGTCCTTTAAGGCCGTTTTTGACCTTGAAAGGTGACTTAAGAGGTCAGGACTTTCTGACGGACGCTAGCTCTTGCGCTTGTTAATATTTTGATGCTTATAATTTCAAATCATCTGGCAATTTTTGAGTGATATTGAGTTCCCCGTCCTTTGACTCAGCTTTTGACCTCGAAGGTAACATGGTATTGCAAAATAAGGGCCATCTTTGATGTTTTCACGCCACAATTGACCTTGAGGCCTTATTTGCAGGGAAATCGGAACTCGTCGCTGAATAAATCGCTGAACAAATCGCTAACTTCACGGATTTTCCGACGGCCGGGCGCGGGTAATGTTCAAAGCCTGGCCCTCCATTTTTTTGAAACGTTCTTACGCCTATTCGTTCAGAACAGTCATGCTCTATTCGTTCATGTCTGATGCCGTCCGATTCCACCTGATCCCGTTCGGTAATGTCTACTCTGTCCGGTTCGGTCAGGTCCCCTACTGTCCCGCTGGTCCCGTTTCGTCCAGTTCTGTCGCCTCCAGTTCCGTCGGGCCAGTCCGGTTCCGTCCTGACATGTGACCCCTTATGTCCGGGGTGATTCCTTTCGGTCACCATCTGCCTTTTGGAGGCCCCTGGGTGTTTGCCTCCAAGGCAAACACCCAGGTGCCATCATGGAATTATCGGGCCTGGTGAGCAAGGTGTTGGGATTTTGGTGATGTAGGATTTTAAACGCGCTGTCTTTTTGACATCATCGTACAATCAGCTGGATGTGCTGACCCTACTGTTGTGTAATCAGCTGACAGCCGCATCGCAAAGCTATCGCCTTGAGCATCTCTATGGATCTGTCGATGACGCCTGGGTGGGTGGTGGTTGCTCGGTGTTGTGAAGTACGATATTTGTTACCATTGTAAGACACATAGGGCTGAATAAAGGTGCTGATGGTAGTCATGAATGTCTACTGCTGGGTTTGATAACAACACTGTGCGTTTTTCGCGCTATGTTAAGTTGTTTCAGACCGTTGTGGAGAAGTAGGGTGGGAAGTGTGAGAGGGGACTGGTGTGAGGTTACGCGCCATGAATTTCCATTATATGGCACATAGAGCTGATGGAAGATTAAAGAATTGTTCAAAATTGTTCGTGCATCTGCTGTTACTAATGCTTGAAAGGTTTCTTGCTCGATCTTGGTGAATCAGCCTGTTCCAGGAAGTCAGAGAGCTGCATCATGATACATGACCTTATACACTAATTCTTTACTCATGCATGCAACAGATTGGTAAATATGGGTGCTTATATCATTGGGTTTGTTTGTTAAATGCCTTAAAACATATTCCATCATAACCTGGTGGCATGGAAAAGACTGACTTGCTGCAACTGCCTGTTGCACAACATCAGTCAACATCAGCTGACTGCATTGGTGCCATGATGGATGTGCATGTGAAGACCCTCATTCTTGAATGTTGGAAACATTGATATTAATTAGACTGTTGGCTATACTTATTTAGTTCCCACCATTACACCGATGTGTTATCTGGTCTGATTCATCTCTTTACATGCATATTGTTAGGCATTCTTCTCAAGTACTGTTTTGTATAAAGTAGAAAACAGTGTTGGCCTAAAGCTAAAAGTATGCTCAAATGAAGTGAGAGGCCTGTGATGGTGATGCAAAAAAGTTAAGTTTAATCATTATGTTAGCCACCATAGCCTTAGCATAATTGTTCATGTTCATAACTAATTTGCATCTGTGGACATTATATCATTGAAAAAGTGGGGCTTAAATATTGTCATAAATCCTCTTTATATGTCACAGTGTCACTTGTGTACAGCTATCTGTGGCAGCATTCCTGTTCTTATCTGCATGCACATGATAAGAAATGCCTTAAAGATGTAACTAGAGGATAATTATGTCCTGTTGCTTTTCAGGAGCTTGCCTCATCCACTCCCAGAGGAAAGAAGCATTTCTCTAGGCTGCATTCTTTTGGCTGAATGAAGAAAGGTCTTATAGAGCACTTGTGGTAGTGCTGCTTGGCATTTTGCACTATGGAGGCATAAATCTGTTACCATACTTAAAAAAACAAAACATGATGGCTTGCTGTGGGTCAATTCTTGGCTGGGCTTATAGCACTCTGCTCCTTCTCAACCATGTGTGTGATGCTGACCTGCTATCTATTTTTCATCTGCTGGTAAGTATTTAGTCCAAATACTGCTTTATAAACTGGCATAACAGTAATTATGTAAAAAACCCTGGCATCTCCAGGATATGTGATATCTCTTAGGCATTATTTTGGTTATTGTTACATTTTTCCATCTAACTAGAACAACAAGAAAATGATTAAATGAAGAATGTTTTGACCATTCATTTTTCTAATCACTTGACTTTTAATGGTCACAGTTTTCTTTCAACCAGAGAAGATTTGTGTTAGGAGGCTGCCAATTCTAATCTTAGGGTATGCTAATAGATTGTCTGAACCTGTCTCCTTTTGGCAGGCTGGCAGAAAATATGAAATTGATGTTTTGTCAGTCCCTATTTTAAAAGCATGCGTGTGGCAGTTTAGGTTTAAAATTTGTGAGGTGCATGTACACATGCTTGTGTGCCAGCGAGCGCCCGCCTCCCACTGACCGCCAGCCCCCCCCCCCCCCCCCATCAGGACGCGCCCGTACCATCGCCAGTGCGACAGGCAGGCGGCGCCATGCGGCCGGAGGTGGTAATGGCTTCACTGGACCACATCTACACCAGCGTCGTCAATGTCTCCACCGAGTTTATCTTCGTGTACCATGTTGCCAACCTTTCAGAGGTTTGTGGAGGTGGAAGCTTCTGGTGGCGCCCCCAGAGACATTGGCCTCAGGCTGCTGAGACATTATAGGAACAGACTGCGCTGATCTAATGGGACAGTGCAGTTAAACACTTTGACCACGTTTGGTGTTTAGCTGTAATGTACATACTTCCTGCTACTGTTCAGTTCATTGCAGCTGCGTTATCCATATTGGCATTGCAAGCCTGGTGAGCCTGGCAGCTGTCTGGTGCTGGCTGGCCTAACGCGGCCCGTCTGGTGCCGGCTGGCCTGACGCGGCCCGTCTGGTGCCGGCTGGCCTGACGCGGCCTGTCTGGTGCCGGCTGGCCTGACGCGGGCCGTCTGGTGCCGGCTGGCCTGACGCGGCCTGTCTGGTGCCGGCTGGCCTGACGCGGGCTGTCTGGTGCCGGCTGGCCTGACGCGGGCCGTCTGGTGCCGGCTGGCCTAACGCGGCCCGTCTGGTGCCGGCTGGCCTGATGCGGCCCGTCTGGTGCCGGCTGGCCTGACGCGGCCCCGCCGGCTGGCCTGTCGCGGCCCGTCTGGCGCCGGCTGGCCTGACGCGGCCGGTCTGGTGCCGGCTGGCCTGACGCGGCCCGTCTGGCGCCGGCTGGCCTGACGCGGCCGGTCTGGTGCCGGCTGGCCTGACGCGGCCCGTCTGGTGCCGGCTGGCCTGACACGGTTCGTCTGGCGCCGACTGGCCTGACACGGTTCGTCTGGCGCCGGCTGGCCTGTCGCGGCCCGTCTGGTAACGGCTGGTCTGACGCGGCCCGTCTGATGCCGGCTGGCCTGTCGCGGGCCGTCTGGTAACGGCTGACCTGACGCGGCCCTTCTGCCGCCAGGACTCGGCACTGCGTGTGTCCGTCAGCTCGGGGAACGCCACGCTCGACCTGCCGCTGCTGTTCGCCGTGCGGCAGCAGCGCGGCATCCTCTCATGGCCGCTGCCGCTGGCCATCCAGCGCGCCGACGCCAAGTGAGCGGAGGCTCCCCCCCCCCCCCCCCCCCCCGGGCCGTCAGCCAGGGCGCGGACGCTTGGCGTCACTGCTCGAGAGGCCGGAGAGCGGGTCTGGTGAGACGTGGCCGCGCCGCGGTCGGCAGTTCGCGGCGAGATGTTCGCTGTTGAGGTCACCGGCGCGAACAGCAGTTGCGTTGATGTCGTTCGCGCTACGCTGAAAGTCCACCGCCCGGTTGTTTTTTGTCTGCGCTTAGATTGTAGATGCAACGTTGTGGGTTAGCCAAGACCCTTGGCAAAATGTGTTGTCATACCCAAAAGGCCACCCAAATCTTCCAGCCTTTGTCCACGGCGCGCCGCCCTCTAGGTGTGCCGAGGTGCGCCACGCCACGCTGCGAGCTCTGACAACTGTTTTGAAGAGTGTCCGCCGCGTCTGACGCCTGTCCCGTGTGCCGTGCCGCAGACACCTGTACATGGACGTGAGCAAGACCATCTGTCCAGTGCAGAACTACGTGCACGCGCGCGAGGCGGCCCAGCCCTCCGAGGACGTCTTCCTCGAGGTGTCGACGGCCAGCTCGCTGAACGTCGGGTTCAGTCTGGTGCTGCGCCGGGAGCGGATCGCCATCGGGTACGGAGCCGACAGACGGACGGGCCCTCCCGGGGCCTCGCGGACGGGGCCCTCTCCCTCCCGTGCCACGTGCGTCCGTGGAGCTCACTGCACCGAGCGCCGCCAGCGAGTATCACTTTGACAGTTGCTGCAGATATTCGCTGCCGGCCGTGAGTTTTGTTACTGCCGTGTGCCCCTTGCGTGGCCGTCTGTTGCCGCCGCCCGGCCCGGGCCGCCGCCAGCTGTGTCCGGGCTGACAAGGACCAGTGACGGGCCCGCCGTGCCAGGCTCGCCGCTGGCGTGGCGTACCGCGCCGGCGGGCTTGTGCCGTCGGTGGACGGGCGTATTGCTGTCGGGCAGGTCCGCTATCCGCTGACAGGTCCACTGTCCTCTGAAAGGTCCACTGTCCTCTGACGGGTCCACTGCCCTCCAAAAGGTCCACCGTCCTCTGACATGTCCGCTGTCCTCCGGCGGGTCCCTTGTCCTCTGGCAAGTCCACTGTCCTGAGAGATACACTGTCCTCTGGCAGGTCCACTGTCCTCTGACAGGTCCACTGTTCTCTGACCGGTCCACTGTTTTCTGACAGGTCCACTGTCCTCTGACAGTCCCACTGTCCTTTGACGGGTCCACTGTCCTCTGACGGGTCCACTGCCCTAGACTGGTCCACTGTTCTCTGACGGGTCCACTGTTCTCTGACAAGTCCACTGTCCTCTGACAGGTTCACTGTCGTCTGAAGGTCCAATGTCCTCCGACAGGTTCAATGTCCTCTGATAGGCCCGCGATCCTCTGACAGGGACAGGCCGGCTGTCCCCTGAACGATCGCTCACCCTCCATCTGCACGCGCTCTCGGGGCGTTATTGCGGGCTGGGCGATCGTGGGCGGAGTGCGTGATCAGGCGCCGACGCGGCAAAAACGGGCGGAAAGCCGACCCGGGCTGGCCGGGTCTAGCGCAGGCCACGGCATTGGCAGCCGGGATTTTGCACGATCGTGATTGAAGAGAAAGTGCCAACTTTGTAGCTTTTTACGGAAGCCGTGTGGTAGAGGTGCGAGATTGCGTATCGTTTGACTTGACTTCCGGAGCTGTGTATGGATCACCCAAGGTTAGAAATACGCAAATAATTCCATTTTCGTCTCAAGTCAAACGAGACTCAGAGCTGCAATTTTGAAGTACTTCATTACCAGCTGGACTGTAGCTCAGCACGGACATGCCCGTACGCCACAATACGCTGCGACCACGTGTGAGCAGACTGATGACCAGCCATGGGGCAGACGTCTGAAAATTTACAGCTGACTTCGGCCCAGAAAACGCCATTCTGTGCTTAATTGTTTGTTACGTCCATGCTAGCGTTCTCACTCGTGGCGTTGGTTTGCGAATAGGCTTACAGCAGCTTATAGGTTCAGGATCAATTTCTACAACGCCTGCTTAAGCTGTGAACGTCCTTCCCTTTTACACTCAGTAATTCGAAATGTCAAGTGCTCATGTTTCAACACATTCTTGTGCCGGACCGAAGGGATTAATATTTTGTTGTCGCTAATAAAATATTGCCGAACATCCTGATCGTGAACATGCTCCTGCAGCGCGCGCAGTGTCCAGTCTGGCGTGCTCGACGTAGTTTGTTAGCGTTTGTCCGGTGGAACGGGACGTGGAGGTCGGGACGGGACGATGCTCTTATCGTCACCCCGCCATGGGCCGACCGGAGACGCTGCGCCCGCCCATTCGAGCACTGGCAGCCCGTCCGCCCTTGCCCCCAGTCTGCAGGCGCCGCGCAAGCTGGAGATGACGCCCTCCTCGCCGCAGTTCATCCGCTTCAACTTTCCGGCCGACGTGTCGACGGCGCTGGTCAAGGTCAGCTCATCGGACGACCTGTGCGCCACCGTCAGCATCCAGAACGTGTCGGTGAGCACAGGCTGGGGAGCAGCGTCGGGGCGCGGGCCGTCGCGGTCGTGCCGAATGGGTTTCGCCACCGTTTTGTTGCTCGGCGGAACCCAAACAGACCACAGAGCCTGGGTACGTTCACTGCCGGCCGACAGGCTCTGCCGACCGCCGCGCTGACGGCCAAAATGGGAATTCAGTGTGGTTCGCCACCGGTGTGACCAGTGCCGTCGTACATGGACCACTCTGGTACCGCAGAGCAAATGAATCCTCTATTTATTGTTTTGCCCTACTTTACTTGCTTTCCTGTAAGTAAGCAGCTGGTTCCTGGTAGTGTGACGGCTGCCCGGCTGTGGATGCTGTCTCGCTTCCGTATAGTTCTGACGAGCGGACTCTGACACATGTTCCTTCGTTGGCAGGCTGTGAGTCAGTTCCCTGTGGTAACGGCTTGTGAGTCCGCCTCACTGTAGTGACTGCGCGATTGTGCTTTCCCGTAGAAATTGGTCATGAGTCCGCTTCCCTGTGCTGACAGTTCGTGAGCCCGCTTCCGTGAGCTGACAGTTCGTGGGTCCGCTTCCCTGTGCTGACTGTTTGTTGCTCGCTGCCATGAGCTGGCAGTTCGTGGGTCCGCTTCCAAATACTGACAGTTCGTGAGTCCGCTCCCGTGAGCTGACAGTTCGTGGGTCCGCTTCCCTGTGCTGACTGTTTGTTGCTCGCTGCCATGAGCTGGCAGTTCGTGGGTCCGCTCCCAAATACTGACAGTTCGTGAGCCCGCTCCCGTGAGCTGACAGTTCGTGAGTCCGCTTCCGTGAGCTGACAGTTCGTGGGTCCGCTTCCGTGAGCTGTCAGTTCGTGAGTCCGTCTCTCCGTTAGCCGACAGTTCGTGAGTCCGCTTCCGGGAGCCGGCATTTCGTGAGTCAGCTTCCGTGAGCTGACAGTTCGTGGGTCCGCTTTCCTGTGCTGACAGCTCGTGGGCCCGCTTTCCAATGCTGACAGTTCGTGAGTCCACTTCCGTGAGCTGACAGTTCGTGAGTGCGCTTCCGTGAGCTGACAGCTCGTGAGTCTGCTTCCCAATGCTGACAGTTCGCGAGTCCGCCTCTCCGTGGTGGCAGGTTGTGAGTCCACCTCTCTGTGGTGGCAGGTTGTGAGTCCACCTCCCTGTGGTTCCTGACTGAGAGTCCACCTCTCTGTGGCGGCAGGTTATGAGGCCACCTCCCTGTGGCGGCAGGTTGTGAGTCGGCCTCCCTGTGGCGGCAGGTTGTGAGTCGGCCTCCCTGTGGTGGCAGGTTGTGAGTCGGCCTCTGTAGTGACAGGGTTTCCAGTCCCCTGCCATATGCCACCGGGGCGAGAGCTGGGGTCTCGCTAGTGACATCTGGTGTCCGCCTTCCTCTTGACTTGTGTCAGTGTTTAAAGGGAAGCCGCACCGAAAATCGCTGTGTAAAAATTTCATCGTAGTAACTTAAATAATTACGTAAATCGGTGCTTTCCACTGGCTACCGAATCTCGCAGTGTCTCATTTCGCCAGGAGGGTTCGCTTTTCGGTCTAGTAATTCTGAAATGCCGTAGCAGAGGCTCATTGAGATGCAATTACGCGGGAGTGATATTTTTGTTATCACGATGTCTTACTCTATATCGGCAGGCAAGAAGGTGTGGCGCACCTTGCCAGATTTTCGGAATTTGGTGGGGTTAAAAAGTTTTGTTTTCGCATATAATGCTCTACCCTTTACAAGAACAGGAGAAATTGAAACTTGTTTTTCCTGCGCCAAATTCTATTCAGCTGCTTCTTCACGAAGGTAGATGATGAGCTCGCCTTTTCGTGTCCATGTGACCCCAATGATTTAAATCTGTCTTACGTGGGCTGGCTGTGTGATGGCTGGCTAAAGATGCATACCTAACGCTGCCGGCTGTGTTACAGTGTCCGATATTCGACTCGCAGCAGGAGGTGGCCTACGGCAACCAGTACCAGACGATGACGTTGAAGGCCGGCATCACTGTGAGGGTAAGTGCGGCGTCGCTGTCCCGGTGCGATGCCAGGCGGGGGACGAGTCCGCCGACGAACGGCGGCAGTCCACTGACGCTATCCTACCGACCGTCCTGCCGATCGTCCTGCCAGCCGTCCTGCTGGCCACCCTGCCGACCGACGGCCCCCAGCCGGGCGGCGCCGGACAGCTGCACCGATGACTGACTCGGCACCGACCGGCAACTCAGACCAGCAGTGGTCGCCACAGACACGGCACTGGCCGTCCATCGTCCGGCCCAGTGTCTGCTGCCACAGGCACGGCACTGACAGGCCACCGCCTGGCCCAGTGCCTGCTGCCACAGACACGGCTCTGACAGGCCACCGTCCGGCCCAGTGTCTGCCACCACAGAAACGGCACTGACAGGCTACTGCCTGGCCCAGTGTCTGCTGTCACAGACACGGCACTGGCCGTCCACCGTCCGGCCCAATGACTGCTGCCACAGAAACGGCACTGGCCGTCCACCGTCCGGCCCAGTGTCTGCTGCCACAGACACGGCACTGGCAGGCTACCGCCTGGCCCAGTGTCTGCCGCCACAGACACGGCACTGGCCGTCCACCGTCCGGCCCAGTGTCTGCCGCCACAGACACGGCACTGACAGGCTTCCACCAGGCCCAGTGTCTGCTGCCACAGACACGGCACTGGCAGGCTACCGCCTGGTCCAGTGTCTGCTGCCACAGACACGGCACTGGCCGTCCACCGTCTGGCCCAGTGTCTGCCGCCACAGACTCGGCACTAACAGGCCACCGTCCGGCCCAGTGCCGTTTGCTTACGCGGAGCGCCGCGTCGCCCTCCGCCGTACCGTCCGAATGGTTAATCTTCTTTGAAAGTCGGTCAGATTCACGCTGCAGTTTGGGGTCTGGCCTTTAAGCCGCGTGAAGTCCGGATGTGCCGCCCGGCCGGTCTTTGGGACACATCGGCGTAGACGTAGATCGGCACACGGTGTCAATCCCCCGTGGCCTGTGCAGTGGGTATGTCGGTCTTCGCGCAGCCCTTTAGCCCCGTTGCAGTGGGTATGTCGGTCTTCGCGCAGCCCTTAAGCTCCGTTGCAGTGGGCATGTCGGTCTTCGCGCAGCCCGTTAGCCCCGTTGCAGTGGGTATGTCGGTCTTCGCGCAGCCCTTTAGCTCCGTTGCTTGGACACTGTCTAACGCGCGGCCCGTTTCAGCGCGAGAACTTCCCGCTGGGCATGTTCATAGTGCTCGTGGTGCACGGCGACGACTCACAGTGCAGCCATGCCTACGAACACATCGGCGCGCTGCGTCAGAAGCGGGTCGAGGTGGTCGTTCAGGTGAGGCACCGCGCTCATGCGCTGTATTGGCCGCATGGATGGCTGGTATTGTGTGTTCTGGTGCGTGCTACGGGGGGAGGAAGGGGAGCGGCGGGATTACCAGAAGCTCAGAAAGCGGCAGGCGCTACGCGATAAACATGGGTCAGAAGTAGTTACCATCTGTGCTGCTTGGACTTGGGTGGCGAGGACTGTTACAGCCTTGCTGTTGCGGGTAAGGTGACAACCTAGAAGTCAATGTTTCGTGACCAGCTAATTGGCATGGGAAGCCTGCCACATCGTGTCCACGCCGCGGTGCTGCTCGCCGTCGTCGCCTGATGGTGTGGGAGCGTCGCCGCGTGCGCCGCTGACTCCGCCGTCCGCCCTGCCAGGAGACGATATCGCCCGCTGATTACGTGACGGCAACGGTGGGTGCGCTCGGCTTCTGCGGCCTCTTCTACCTGCTGTCCATCCTGCTCAGTGTCGGCCACTACGTCAGGTAGGTCGGCCGCCGCCGGCCGATCAGCCCACGACTCGGCGCCGGGCTGACGGACCACTCCGTGCCCGTATATCCCGGCCATGCGGACTTACGTCGTGCGCCAGCGTTTAATAAGCGTAGAATGGGTGCGAATTGAGAGATGTGGGTGGAACTCTGCCTTGCCGCGTGTTTGAGTACCACTCCGTGGCTGCCGATGTGTGCCCGGAACTCGTGCCGGGTGGTGCTGGGCTGTGCGCGCCGCCGGCCGGCCTGCATGACGCCGAGCGCTGGCCCGACAGGCAGCGGCAGCAGCGGCTGGGGCTTCCTGAGGAGTCGCCGCCGATGGCCAACTATGGCGCCATCTCGACGGCCAGCTCAGGTGCGGCTCTGTCGGCGCGGCCCGGCCCGGCTGGACCGGACCACTGGCGCCCGCTGCCGGTCACGACCGGGGCTGCCGAACTGCCGGCCTCCTTCCGCAGTGGTCTCCACTCTGTGCTTGCCAACTGGTGCTGCGATATCCTGTCATGAACTTCCTGGCTTTAAAATGTGTTCAGACTTGTTTAAAGGTGTTCAGACGTTAAACGGATCGGGGTACGCTAACCATCTGGGCATTGTCGCAGCCCCGTGCAGCCAGTGCGGGGTTTGCGGCTGGTCGGCGTGCCGACCTGACTCCCACCTGCACGGTGCCTCCGTCTGGTCGGTGGGTCTGCGTTCTGTGGTGTCTGCCGACACGTGCACCGCGCCCCCCCCCCCCGCCCCACCCCCCGCTAACGCTATCGGGGGCGTCGTAGACACGGCGGCGGCGGCGCGTGCGGCCGTCTCTCCGTCCAGCAGCGGCGCCTCTGGCAGCGTGCAGCGGCCCGACTCAGACCAGTCGGGTCTCGACGAGACGGAGATCGACATGCTGCACGAGGCCGAGCATGACAAGGACGTATTCCGGTGAGCGGCGGCCGTCGGCCGGGCCTGGCCAAGCTGGCTTTGGCGGCGCTTACTGTGCGGTGCAGCGCGCAGGCGACGTGCTTCGGTTGTCTAGCCATATCCTGTCCTGTCAATCTGTTGCCTCTGTTATATATGTAGTTGTGTGCCCGTTGCGTTGGCCACGCGACATGGCCGGTGTGAAGATGAGGCTGGCGGGCGGCCGTGCAGGTCTGGACCCCCGGCGGCTGAGGGCTGGTGGGCGGCCGTGTGGCTCTGGACCCCTGTCGGCTGAGGGCTGGCGGGTGGCCGTGCGGCTCTGGACCTCTGTCGGCTGAGGGCTGGCGGGTGGCCGTGTGGCTCTGGACCCCTGTCGGCTGAGGGCTGGCGGGTGGCCGTGCGGCTCTGGACCCCTGTCGGCTGAGGGCTGGCGGGTGGCCGTGCGGCTCTGGACCTCTGTCGGCTGAGGGCTGGCGGGTGGCCGTGTGGCTCTGGACCCCTGTCGGCTGAGGGCTGGCGGGTGGCCGTGCGGCTCTGGACCCCTGTCGGCTGAGGGCTGGCGGGTGGCCGTGCGGCTCTGGACCCCTGTCGGCTGAGGGCCGCCGCTGCCGTCTTTCAGTCCGCGCGGCCGCTACCAGCGCGTCCACAGCGACGACTCGTCCTTGGACGGGGTCGACCTTGACCGAATGCTGGACGGCTTGTACCGTAAAGCGTGCGTTAGGTATGAGTGCCCGGTGGCGGGCGGCACGGCGGCGCGCTGGCGCCCTGGGCGGTGACCGGAGCGCGGGACTGCTGTGTGTGCAGGCGGAGGCGCCTGGTGGTCGCATGCAGGGAGCTCAGGGGTAACCCGTCGTGGCGGAATGGCTGGTGACCCGTGGGCGATGACTTGGCGGTGACGGCACCCGCAGGGTCCGAAGCGGCCGCCAGGGGTTGGTCGGGGTGTCGAGATGGGCGCGTTTGGTGACCGGCGGGCCTCTGATGGCTCGGTCACACCGTGGCCACACCATGAGCGTCTGGCGGGTGATATAGTGGCTCTGATGCGTGACACGACACGACACGACACGACGGCTCCTCGCAGGACCGGCGGGACTTCAGTGCGCCCAGCTGCTGCGTCTGGCACCTCCCTGCCGCCTACCGCAGGGAGCTGCAGTCGGTGTCAAGTAATGGCAGCGCACCAGCGGCGTGGGGCGTGACGCTCACATTGCCAGCAACGGTCGCGGTGACCTGCCCTGACGGTGACATGCCATGACGAAGTGGCATGTCCTGACGCAGTGACATGCCCTGATGTCGTGACATGTCCTGATGCCGTGACATGCCCTGATGCCGTGACATGCCTTGTCGGTGGCATGCCCTGACACATTGACCTAATCTGACACGGTGACCTGCCCTGACAGTGACATGCCATGATGAAGTGGCATGCCTTGACGCAGTGACCTGATTTGACCATGACCTAACCTGACGCAGTGACCTGCCCTGAGCCGCTGGTGGGCTGAAGGCTAGAGCTGATGGGGTGGGGGGGGGGGGGGGGGGGGGGGAGGGGCGGGGGCTGAAGGCTGGAGGCTGTAGGCTGGAGCCGCTGGGGGTTGGGGGCTGGAGGATGAAATCTGGAGTCTGAAGGCTGAAGCCTGGAGTCTGGAGCCTGGAGGCTGGAGCCCGTAGTCTGGAGGCTGGAGGCTGAAGACTGCAGGGCGCAGGCTGGAGCCGCTGGAGGCTGAAGACTGGAGCTGGAGGCTGGAGGCTGGGGGCTGGAGGCTGGAGGCTGGAGGCTGGAGGCTGGAGGCTGGGGGCTGGGGGCTGGGGGCTGGGGGCTGGGGGCTGGAGGCTCTGGAGGCTAGAGGCTGGAGGCTGGAGGCTGGAGCTGCTGGAGGCTCTACACTCCCCGCCATCCGTGACCGAGCGGGCGCTGGGCGGGCTGATCCTGCCGTTTCATCTACCGTGTCGCATCATGTGACCACGGTCCTGTCACCCTGGCGGTCTGTCATGCACAGGGTTTGTGGGTTCCTGCCACCCCGACGGTCTACCATGCACAGGGTCTGTGGGCTCCTGTCACCCCGACGGTCTACCATGCACAGGGTCTGTGGGCTCCTGCCACCCCGACGGTCTATCATGCACAGGGCCTGTGGGCTCCTGTCACCCCGACGGTCTACCATGCACAGGGTCTGTGGGCTCCTGCCACCCCGACGGTCTATCATGCACAGGGTCTGTGGGCTCCTGCCACCCCGACGGTCTAGCATGCACAGGGTCTGTGGGCTCCTGCCACCCCGACGGTCTATCATGCACAGGGCCTGTGGGCTCCTGCCACCCCGACGGTCTATCATGCACAGGGCCTGTGGGCTCCTGCCACCCCGACGGTCTATCATGCACAGGGTCTGTATGAAGGAGGGCGCGCTCGTCTCAGTGAGGGCTCTCAGTACTGCAGCATGGGGCAGCATGAGTCGCACCGGCCATAGCCTGGCACTGACCGCCAGCTCCGGCGCGGGAGCCTGGCTCATTCCATGCAACTCACCGACCGCGTCTGTCCGGGCCCGGTCTTTCAGCCGTGTGGACCCGTTTTCAGTTAATTGGCAGTGTGTGCGGTGGGGCTGAGAACGGTCCTGAACTGCTGAGCTGGGAACAGAGCTGAGAGCATGACGCACGAACACAAGGGCGGCGCCCTGCCAAAGACGGGTTGTGCATAGGCTAGCTGAGTCTGGCCGACGCTGGCGTGGTGCGACACTTGGTTCAACTTGCAGAATCAACTTGCAGAACACACACAGTCCGCACTTATCCCGGTTTCCGTTGTTTCTCGAATGTTTTGTTCAGGATTAGATGTCCAGGCCGTTGGTGCCGTTTCGGGACTGGTACCTGAAGGTGCCCCACGGGCCCCGACGACCCGACCCTGACGCGGTGGGCCGGCTGCCGACAGGACCAAGACGCTCCTGTTCGTGTCCGACCTGGCGCGCAAGAACCCGCGCGCGCTGGCCAAGAAGTCGCAGCTGTACATCTGGAACCTGATCACCATCGCCGTCTTCTATGCCGTGCCGGTCGTCCAACTGGTCATCACCTACCAGAAGGTGGGTGTGGTTGCGACCAGATTGACCTGGCTGGGCCAGGGATCGTGGCTCGCATGAGGCATGAGCTTAGGGAATCAGCGTCGCACTGTGCGGGAAATGGGCCTAGTGGAAGAGTCTTACAGTAGCAATGTTTTGGTTATGCGTGGCGAAAAGTGGATCTTTTGTAAAAAAGAATATTTGTTGGAAGCGCTCAATTACACTGCTGTCACACATGCATGCCATGCACGCGGCAGAGGTTTCAGTCTTTCGGCACGCTTGCGGGGCAGTCTTGACCCCACGCTTGCTGTAAGGCTCCCCAGGGCCACCTTCCCCCACACAAACGCCGTCCACAAGTCATGACCTTTGACGTCACTGGTAAGTGCGTCACAACAGCTGTTGCAGCTTGGAGTATAGTCGCTTGCGTCTGACTTAAGCGCTTGTGACGTTGTAAGCCGCAACTTGTGGTAGGTACTTTGCCAATGGGGAACGCGTCCCAGGTGGCGCCCATGCATACGGGGGGTTGTCATGACTCGTGTGACCGGGTGAATGGGAGGCCCTCTCCGGTGACAGGAGCCGGGACCGTGTCCTCGTGTCGTTGCCACCCGGACTGGGGGGAAGGGGCATTTAAAGCCAAGCCATGACCGTGAGCCCACCGCCGCGGACGGTAGTTCGTGGAGCGTGAAGCCCGCGGCAGGGTGGTCACTCCTTAGTTGGTGCCATCTCCTGTGTAGCAGCCGGCCGAGGAAAAAACTTTTGAAGTCCGGCTTGGACCATGGCCTCACCTACACTAGCCCGCGGATTAACAAACCGTACCACAGAGGTAGTGTGCGAAATGTGGTCTAGTGACCGTCGAGATCCTGCCAGAGAGTGTGTGTAAAAGCTGTGAAAAAGTGACCGGTGAGCATGCCTGGCCGCATGCTGCCTTGATATTTCTCCTGTGGCGTCACATGTACCGTACTGACGGATGGCACGACAGCACTGGTGGACGGCTGCTGTTTGCCAGGTGATCTTGAAATGGGAGTGCTCGGAGGCACTGTGCTGTGATCCTTTTGGTAGTTCCGTTGTGCGACTGTAAATTGATGCGAGCTTTATTTTCTCTGGTCAAGTGAAGGATGCGCGGGTGAAAACCAAACTTCCATGCGCCTAAGCAGTTCGGTTGTTCCGCTGCGATTCTCGTCTTTGTGGTGTCTTGTAATCAGCATTGGTCATGTCGCTGGTGCATCTGACGCCGGCCAGCCCAGCCAGCCGTGAACGTCCGTCGTTCCCGGCCAGGTACTGAACGTGACCGGTGACCAAGACATCTGCTACTACAACTTCCTCTGCGCACACCCGCTCGGCGTGCTCTCTGACTTCAACCACGTCTACTCCAACGTCGGCTACGTGCTGCTGGGCCTGCTCTTCATCGGCCTGACCAAGCGGCGCGACCTGCTGCACCAGGCCAACATCCGCGCCAACGACCGGTTCGAGCAGGTGAGGACCGGTTTGAGCTGGAACGGAAGGCGGTGAGCGATTGCTCCGTCGTCCCCGAGCGCTGCCGAACGTTCGTGTTCCGGCATGTGGCGGTGGCTTCAAATGTGACAAGGGGCTGCTGCAAAGGGCGGCAACAGAGGCAAGGATGGATCACTTTGCGCCATCAGGCTAGACTATGACCGCCATGTTGTGCATGGGACACACACTGCGGTGTCGCGGTGTTGCGATGCTCGAGTTTTTTCTTCCGCTCTCCGTACTGCTGTTCGTTTTTGCGGGCGTCGTATCGTTGTATTCATTTAATCACGTTACTTATCGTTGATCTTAATGCGTATCGGTTTCTCCCATTTTACCGCCATTCTGCTCCGTCTCTGTACCCCGTTGTCCTCCCTATCTCTCTTCATATTCGTGCGCCGTCGCCTCCGTCCATTCCGCCTCTGTCCCTCCTGTCTCCGTCCCTTCCGCCTCCGTCTCCCCGCCTCCATCCCTCTCGTCTCCATCTCCTCGTCTCCATCCCTTCCGTCTCCACCCCTGCCGTCTCCACCCATTCCTTCTCTCCGGCCGCTCATCTGACGGTCGGACCGTCAGCTAAGCTCCTCGTCGGCGTCAGCGCGCTTACCCGGCTCACCGCCCCCAGTCCTACGGCATCCCGCGGCACTTCGGTCTCTTCTACGCCATGGGCGCCGCGCTCATGATGGAGGGCATCCTCAGTGGCTGCTACCACGTCTGCCCCAGCTACTCCAACTTCCAGTTCGGTGAGGCGGGCCAGCGCCAGGCCGCTGGAACCGAGCGCACCCGCGCAGTCCGGGTGGGCGCAGTCTGCGCTGTCAGCTTGTGTGTGAACTCCTGCGTGCTCCGTGCTACTGTGCGTTACCAGGCTCCTGCGTGCTCCGTACTACTGTGCGTTACCAGGTTGCGCTCCTGCGTGCTCCGTGCTACTGTGCGTTACCAGGTTGCGCTCCTGCGCGCTTCGTGCTACTGTGCGTTACCGGGCTCCTGCGTGCTCCGTGCTACTGTGCGTTACCAGGCTCCTGCGTGCTCCGTGCTACTGTGCGTTACCAGGTTGCGCTCCTGCGTGCTCCGTACTACTGTGCGTTGCCAGGTTGCGCTCCTGCGTACTCCGTGCTACTGTGCGTTACCAGGCTGCGCTCCTGCGTGCTCCGTGCTACTGTGCGTTACCAGGCTGCGCTCCTGCGTGCTCCGTGCTACTGTGCGTTACCAGGTTGCGCTCCTGCGCGCTTCGTACTACTGTGCGCTACCAGGCTCCTGCGTCCTCCGTGCTACTGTGCGTTACCAGGTTGCGCTCCTGCGTGCTCCGTGCTGCTGTGCGTTACCGGGCTCCTGCGTGCTCCGTGCTACTGTGCGTTACCAGGCTGTGCTCTGCGTGCTCCGTGCTACTGTGCACTACCAGGCTGCGCTCCTGCGTGCTCCGCGCTACTTTGCGTCACCAGGCTCCTGCGTGCTCCGTGCTACTGTGCGTTACCAGGCTACGATGACGTCGAGGATGGCATATGTGTTTTGCATTCGTTTTCGTGCTGGAATGAGGGAAGTCTTAAGTGGTGACCAGGAGGCATGCCGGTTGAGAATGCTGGCAGCAGACGCGTTTCCGGAACTCCCGAAAAATCCCAGAATTTCATGAACTTTGAACCCTATTAGGACCTAGATTCTCCGTTGGGATCGGGACACATGTCCGGCTGGCGGTGCGTGCTTTTTCGGGGGTCGTAGGCTGTAACGACGCCCAGCGCATCACTGCTCTTTGAAATGATTGCAAGGATCACATCGCTCAGGAACAGCAGCCCTTTCCTTAAGAGTATAACCGACCTCGCGTGTCCGGCAGACACGGCCTTCATGTACGTCATCGCCGTGCTCTGCATGCTCAAGATCTACCAGACGCGTCACCCGGACATCAACGCCAGCGCCTACGTCACCTTCCTGGTGCTGTCGTTCGTCGTGTTCGTCGGCGTCATCGGCGTGCTCGAGGGCACCGTCTACTTCTGGTTCTCATTCATCGCGCTGCATCTGTGCATCTGCGTGGTGCTCAGCGCCCAGATCTACTACATGGGCCGCTGGTCACTCAGTGAGTCCGCCCTGACCGAGCGTTGGTCCGTGTCGGGTGGCTATCGGATAGCCGCCCAGCTCTACTACATGGGCCGCTGGTCGCTCAGTGAGTCCGCCCTGACCGAGCGTTGGTCCGTGTCGGGTGGCTGTCGGGTAGCCGCCCGTATCTACTACATGGGCCGCTGGTCGCCCAGTGAGTCCGCCCTGACCGAGCGTTGGTCCGTGTCGGGTGGCTGTCGGATAGCCGCCCAGATCTACTACATGGGCCGCTGGTCGCCCAGTGAGTCTGCCCTGACCGAGCGTTGCTCGGTATCGCATGGCTCGATGTCTTGTAACGCGCGGCCTCTGACGCCTGCTCTCTCCCGGCGTGCTGTGAACGTGGTTGGATAAGCGTCTCTTGTGGATGTCAGGGCGGAGCCTGAACGAGTGGGGGATGACAGGTTAGGGCGTTTGCCATGCGATTGATTACTGTTGGGCCCCTTGATAAGCACTCCCAGCTGTCGGAGAAAACTAGATGGGTCATCAGAACCAACTGAGAAACACTCGTCACATCACACCACACACACCGGAGCTGGGTGGGAATCAGCTGGGCGCTGGGAATTCCCACGGTCGCTCGGTCTTCCCCGGTCAACGGGTGCCAGCGAGCGGCGTGACTAGCTGGCTCGCCGCCCAACCTCCAGCCACTGGTGCCTGAGGCCGTGATGAGGTAGGCTAACCCCCACCCCAGCTCTATCCTCAGCCGGCGAGGCCTTGCTGGGCCGGGATGACCCTCCCCCTTTCCCAGCCATCGGAGTGATGCCTGACTGGCCCTTCTCACCCTGTCCCAGCTGCCGGGATGGTGCTGCTCTGACCCTCGCCTCACCCGCAGACGGCGGCGTGTTCCTCCGGATCTACCAGAACGTGCGCAACGACCTGGCCACGTCGCCGACGCTCTGTTTCCGGCCGGCCTACCCGGACCGCATGGTGCTGTTGGTGATCGCCAACCTATTCAACCTTGGTCTGGCTGTGTTCGGCGGCGTCACCGTGCCCAAGGACTTCGCCTCCTACCTGCTGGCCATCTTCATCACCAACCTGCTGCTCTACACCAGCTTCTACATCATCATGAAGGTGAGCGGCGTGTCGCGTGTGGCTTGTGGTGCGGGCGTGGTGACGAGCCTGGTGTCCGGTTCCGTGATCAGACGTCCTGCACGAGCGCGGCCGTGCGGCTTCCCCCGGAAGCCACTCGTGGAGAGCTGTGTCTTGAAGTCAGAAGTGACCCGAGGGCATGGATGGGAGTGTGTGGATGGAGTGTCTCGCCGCGGTAGCTGACGGCGTGTCTGTGCTGGGGTCGATGGTCCGCGTTGACCGACAGTGCTCTGTGCTATTGTTCTATGCTTCATATAACGATGCTCTGTGTGGCGATGCTCTATTCTCTATGTGGGCGACCAGCTCGGGCTGGCGTCGCGTGCTGGCCGCTCGCCCGATACCGGCTGACCGGCGCCGCCCTCTGGCCGCCAGCTGCGCCACGGCGAGCGCATCCAGCTGCAGCCCATCATCTACATCGTGCTCTGCAGTCTGTCCTGGGCCGCGGCCATCTTCTTCTTCCTGCGCAAGTCCACCACGTGGCAGGTGCGGGCAGAGCTGGCCGGGCGCGGGCGCCCGTGCTCGCGCGCCGACCGAGCCCGCGCCGACAGAGTAGCGGGCCGCAGCCAGAGCTGACTCCGCCGAGGTTGTGGCCGTGGACTGGCCAGTGCCCGACTGTGATCATCGGTGTCGCCCGCTGACCAATGCTGAAAGCTGACCCGCGCGGTTGCTCAGTCTCTGTTCGCTGTGACCCTACTGCGCGTGTCTCTGTCCCCGTGTGGCGGTCCGGTGAGGTCCCCGGCTGACTCCGCTGTCTCTGTTTTCCGCGACCCTGCTGCGCGTGTCTCTGTCCCCGTGTGGCGGTCCGGTGAGGTCCCCGGCTGACTCCGCTGTCTCTGTTTTCCGTGACCCTGCTGCTCGTGACTTTGTCCCCGTGTGGCGGTGCGGCGGGGTGCTCAGCTGACTCCCCCCCCCCCCCGTCTCTGTTCGCCGTAACCCCGCTGCACGTGTCTCTGTCCCCGTGTGGCGGTCCGGCGGGGCACCCGACTGACCCCCCCCCCCCCCGTCTCCATTCTCAGTGACCCGCGCTGCTCGTGGCCCCGTCCCCGTATTACGGCCCGGTGGGGTACCCAGCTGACTCCCCCCGTTTCCGTTCTCCGTGACCGCGCTGCTCGTGACTCCGTCCCCGTATTATGGCCCGGTGGAGTGTCAAGCTGACTCCGCCGTGTCGGCGGCGGCCGCTCAGAAGCCGCAGGAGCCGCCGGTGACGCGGGCTGAGGGCCGCCAGTTCGACAGCTGGCAGCCGGTGCCCCACACCGGCCCCAGCGTGCCGATGATTTCTGACTGGGTAACGGGCGTCCCGACGGCCACGCCCGACCGCCGGGCCGGCGCCGGCTGGTGCCTCGCGGTGGCGGCTGCTCGGCGTCGCTGCCCCGGCGACCCCGCGTCGGTCGGGGACTTTTTGGTCGGCGTGGTTCTTGGGGCTGTTTCGGTTGGTATAAGGTGCACGCCCTGTTTCATGTGGGTGATGGGCGTGACGCGCGTTAGTGGTGTCCCTGACCTCGAGATGGGACAGGCCCCGGTGACGACCCTCTTACGCGCCGGTTGGGACCGCCCCGAGACTGCCGCATGTTAGGTGGCGGGGCGGCGGGCTGACTGATGGCGGCCAGCGCGGTAATGGCATGCCATTTGGAGGTTCACCTGTGAGCCGAAGTCATCCGAGGGGAGGGTAGTCAGGTCAGGTAGACAGGTCATCCGTGTTGTGTGCCGGGGTGGATGCCGGCCGGTTGTTGTTCTGGTAGAAGCATCTGACTAGTGCGACGATCGTGCGTGTATGCTCGGTGGGTGGTTTGACAGTGGTGGGATGTCTCCATGAGGCTGACCTCGACGTACCCCACATCCATGCAGCTTTCCCCCACAGGCACGAACACGTCTGTACTAAAGGTCGGCGCGGGGCGTCAGATCGTGCTCAGGCTTCACCGAGCTCTGCATGTTACCTCCGATGGAAATAATGCCTTTCGTGAGCCATACTACCTTTTCTGGGGTTGGCTGTCTTCTGGGGGAGGGGGAGGGGTAGTCACCGCGAGCCACAGGTTTGTGTGCCCAGAAATTGTGGAGTTGACGGCGGCTGACGTCTTGTTTCGGCCGCCCACAGCTTAGCCCGGCCCAGTCCAGAACCAAGAACCGCGAGTGTGAGATTCTCAACTTCTACGATGATCACGACATCTGGCACTTCCTCTCGGCGTCCAGCATGTTTTTCGGCTTCATGGTGAGGCACCAGCTGGCCGTTATCCAGTCCCGCAGGAAAGCTGTTAGGATTCCATGTTCTGTTGTTAAGGTGTCTGTTATGTTGTCTGCTATTCTATCCGTGTGTTGTGAGATGTCTCAATTCATATTTCATTACTTTCGTCATTACTTGTTAGGCATCCAAATTTGGACGTTAGCGTCCTTCGTCTGCCGGGCGCCTGTCGTGTCTAGAAGTTTGAGAACCATGCACTTCCTGCAGCCAGGTTGGTCAACCTTACTTGAGTGACCAAGAAAGTACCAGTCGGCAGGCAGATTGAATGTTAAGTGCGTACATGCCAATGTATATCTGGAGCGCCGCTCCACGGCGCGCAGGGTGGCCACTGTTCATTGGCTTCGGTATGGTGTGTGTGTTGGTGTGATGCAGTGCGCGGTGGGTGGACGTACGGCGAACACTGTTGTATCGAGTTACAGTGCGTGCTTACCTCGGCGCAACAGCTCACGCCAGCACCCAACGTCTGGCCGGTACCTCCCCGCGTGCAGAGCGTGTGGCCGCTGGAGCGACGCCGGCGCCGGCCTTTGACTCCCGCCGCTCGTCCGCAGATCCTGCTGACCCTCGACGACGACCTGGTGTTCACGCGCCGTGACCAGATCCCCGTCTTCTGAGCGCGACCACCGCCGCCGGCCGCTGGGGGTCGGTCACGCCCGCCGGCGGCCTCACCGGGCCGGGTGGGCACGCACCGCCCCTGGCCACAGGGGGCAGATACCGCACATGGGCGGCTTGGAGAGCGTGCTGCATCCGCACACGCAGGAGGCATGCTACAGTCGTGGTCCGCGTTCAGATGCGTTTTTTTCCGTGTGGGTAATTTGTGGAGTGCGCGCTTGCTCGATCGCAGGCGGCGAGTAATTGCAGGAAATCGCACTCATACAGTTGGCGTGCGTCGTGCGTACGGCGGCGAGCCGGTCCGTCCGGAAGTGAGACATTGGCGGCCGGCTGTGTCACTGAGCGCACGATAGTGGGGCACTCCATCAACGGGCGGACCGGTCGGGTTCGGTGGGCCAGTGATAACCACCGAACGGTTGTGAGATGCGGCTAAGCCTGACACCACATGTTGACGGACCAAATGCCAGCAAAGCTTCGATTCTCTTCCAGCTCATATGTACTGTGTACGTTGCTGCTCTAATGTGCTCCAGGAAATCATGTGGTGTGATCGTAAATGGCCGGTTTGTAATGTGGCTACGGCGCAAGATAAATGTATCGCATGGGACGTATGTGATGTGGACGATATAGTCAGAATGGATATCGGTTAACCGTTATATGTCAATTTTGCGTGTCCAGCCCACCGTGCTTGTAGCGAATCACGCCACGGAAAATGTAAAAGTTCGCCAGATTTGATTCCGCGTGTAAGCATGACATACTGTGCCTTGGTTTGAGTTGCCTCGGTATCGTAATGGAATCAGTGACATGGATACCGCGGCGCCATTACAATATCGCACCGCACTAGAGCCGCGATAAGATGCCAGCGAAGCTTCTTCACGCGGCGTCACGGGACCAGACCATGAAGTCGGTGCGCCCAACTAGGTAGCAAGGGTGCCGTGCGACTGTTCCAGTGAGCCACACTCACCACGTCTTCGTGTGTACGCTGTCGCTTCGGGCTTGTTTATGTTGGCTGTGAAATATATGTGCAGGTCGAGTGGCGTGTTCTGCAGGCCATCCTCCCGTTGGGCAGCTCGTCAGCCGCCTGAGCGCCGGGGGGCAGCAGTTAGGCGCCGGGAGGCAGCAGTTAGGCGCTGGGGGGCAGCAGTTAGGCGCCGGGAGGCAGCAGTTAGGCGCCGGGGGGCAGGTTACGGTTCGCCGCAGCTTGGCTCCCTGTCGGCCCGGCCATTGCCGAGCTGCGCCCGCGCGGCAGCCGGGTGCGACGGGGCTGCAGACGGGTGCGACGCGGCCAGTTGCACCCGCAGTGCAGACGGGTGTGACGCGGCTGCAGACGGGTGCGGCGCGGCGCGGTCGGTGGAGCCCGCAGTGCAGACGGGTGCGACGCGGTCGGTGGCACCCGTGATGCAGACGGGTGCGACGCGGTCATCGACGCCTGCCATGCTGACTGGTGCGGCGCGGCGCGGTCGGTGGAGCCCGCAGTGCAGAGTGTGACGCGGTCAGTGGAGCCCGCAGTGCAGAGTGTGACGCGGTCAGTGGCGCCCGCAATGCAGACGGGGTGCGATGCAGCTTGCCATTGTTTTGTTGTTACAGGTCAACTTGCGCGATCGGGGGGTGCGGTATAGGCCATCAGACGTTATACCTCGTGCACGCATTTTTGCAATTGGTGCCGAAGCCAGAATGCCTTTAAAATGGTACCATAATTCCTGCCCCGTGCCATCTTACGCGTTGTCAATGACCGCGCCCCCACCGCCCCTCAAAGCGGCATGGCTGAGGGCTTCATTGCAACGACGCCCGATCATCTCACTGCTCCAGCCCCTACCGTGCATATCAAGCCAGTAGAGCGCGCCTCACCCCCAGCGCCAGACAAAACAGCGGCGGGGCCCAGGCGCCAGACCTAGCGCCGCCTACACGGACCCAGCGGGTGGACGGTGGTGGGCGGGTAAGAAACTTTTGCTGTAGCCGGAAGGAGAACGGTGATCACCGCAACTGCGATGCTAGGACCAGCTGGTTGAACGCATCTACTCCCTATACAACACGTGCACGGATGCTCCGCGGTGCGCATCATACCTATTCACGACTAGTAAATCCGACACGAATACAATCTCCCCACAGGTCGGCTGCACACCACCAGAATAATCACTATACCTCGGCGTACGACGGTGCAGCTCTCGGCCACGCCCGGACCACGTGGTGCGCTGACGGTGGTCTCCCGGCGCCCCGGCTGCCCCGATGGCGACCGTCTCCCGGCGCCGGCCGGGCGCCTGTTCTCGACGCAGCCGCGGCGCCGGCCGACCCGGCGCTACACTCGGGCCCGTACGCTGTTGAGTCCCGGCGGCGCCGGCCTCCAGCGGTACTGAGCTGGCCACCGGACAGCCTGTGGTGACCGCGGAACGCTCCCTCCCCCTCCCACCCAGCAGTCGGCCTTCAGCGGTGCTGGGCTGGCAGCCAGACGGCCGGTGGTGACCGCGGGATGCTCCCTCCCCCTCCCACCCAGGTGTCGACACCTGGGTGGGAGGGTAGCACAGCCCAGCACAGCGACCTCCCTCAGCTGTGCTGGGCTGACGGCCGACGGCCTGTAGTGGCCGCGGGACGCTCCCTTCCCTTCCCTCTCCCACTCACCACCCGATCGACGAGGCGTGGCTTCGTTGGGCAAGCGCCTCGTCCCAGAACGGCGGTTCCCGTCTTCGGCATCGTACGCGAGGTCGTCGTCAAATGACATCTTTCGTCACGGACCGGTTAGCCGAAATTTGTTTTACCCACGTAGTTTCGCTCCTCTTTTTCTATCGATGGCTTCATAGGTTCCCTGCGTCTCAAGCAGAAACGGCACATCTGAGGTACATCTAAATCGTTTCGTGCCTAGTTCGCGAGCTCCCTGTTCTTGCGTAGGTTTTACAGCGCTGTCTGGGTCTCCAGTGATAAACATCCACCAAGCTCTCGTCTATTTGTACGACTATCACTCTGCATAAATTGGCCCTGCTGACCTAATTTCAGATCCCGGCAATTGAAGCTTGTGCGTGTATCTAAGGCGCGCATATGTACTTGAAAGGGATCAGGAGAAATTACGTTACTTGTCTCGTCTGGCGTAGCGATGACTTCACGTTCTCATCGGAGCTTGCGCCATGTTTTTTTATTACATCTTCCATGCATAAAGATTTCCCTATATTGAACAATTTCGCGCATTTCATACAAATGGATACCCTCCTGGGTGTTGTCACACAAATAGATACCCTCCTAGATTGAAGTCAATACAACGCTCATGCCTTAATAGCACAATCTATGACCGGAACACATTTGCCAGTTTCCCAAACCTTGTATTATCGCTTGGTATTTTCACAGATAACGCGCCACGAAAGTTGATCATATTTATATCGCACGTACAGTATATATCACGTGGGCAGTCGGGGGAGGGGGAGGGCGCCAGCTGATCGAAGGGGGGAGGGGGGCAGCGCGAGTCACAGCCCACCTGCAACGCGCGGAATGTATTTAAATAGAGGCTATATACAAACTCACTGAAATCCACAACAGCTATACCCGCGCGGCAAGGTGGCAAACGGAGACCGGCACGGCCGGGGAGCCCGGCGCACCGCGCCCCGACGAGGCGCGCCCTGAACATGCGGCTGGCCGCTGACGCCCGTCAGCCCCCGGCTCTGAACGGGGGGCCTACTGAGCCCCTTCTGGGGTCTCCGACGCAGCGCGCCCGTGGACCGCGCCCGGGCCTACAGCACAATCCCGCCGAGAAGCCCACGGGGTCATGAGAGAGGGCAGCACGCGCGCCGCGGCCAGGCCGACGCACTGGCCGCTAGATGCGCTCGTAAGGCGGCTTCCTCTTGTCGTGAGAGCGGCTGTAGTCGTCCTGTACCAGCGGAGACGAGGTCTTGGGGCCTGGCGGACGGTGACCGGTCAGCGACGCCGTCGCAGCTCGCCGCACGCGCGTCACGGGTACATACATCCAGACCAGAGGCACCGCGCGGCGCATGGTGACGAGCCAACTGCTGGCAATCAGCAAACTGGGAAATTTCATGGCGCTTTTCGCAGTTAGTTGAGGAGCTGAATAGTTCGGGTGTACAGCCACATATTTATATACTGACATCGTTTTATGCCAGTTATTACACAAATCTAAATGCTTCAGCAAGCACAGGCCTAACAAAAGCATGATGCACACGAAAACAAGCATGGCGGGTGAAGCAAACGAACAAAACAACGTCAAACATTCCCATAACGGCATACTCGCTGTAATTTACATAGCGGACCTATTGCTCAAGGCAAAACTAATCTCATATCGACGTCAACTCAAAGAACAAAGCAAACCATAGTCATATCCGTAAAAATACGCAAAACTGAAGTGTTGTTGGTATGCAGTAGTGTTCCTTGCCATGACCGAGTGCGTGACACGGATGCAGTGCGAACGGACATAAGCAATCAAACAAAAATGTCATTCCATCAACTGCCAGTTACAACATAATGCCAATACGTGATCGTCACGCGGAGTTGTGTGAGTCACCTAGATCGACTCTTCAGGAATGCATTCGCCTAGAAGCACCGACCAATTGAGCAGGCCAAGCAACACGGTGGAACGACTCGCCCACGCCATCCGCCTCCACAGCACCGCAAGCCACACCAAGCAGCGAGCCTCCTCCGCCCGCCCGCCCTCGGCTGCCCGTCGAACAGAGCGCCGGCCACACCCTGCACTAGTCTCCGCCACTGAGCAACGGCCCGGGCATCAGCCGGCGGACGGGGCCCCGCTGCATGCGGACCAGACCACGGCAGGCACGCTCCACCACCGCGCTTACCTGGCCGGCGGCCGTGCGCCGGCGGCGCGGCGCGGCGGCGGACGGACGGGCCGACCGCCGCCGGCCGGCGCGGCGGGTGGCCGCCGGCGCGCCGGCCGTCACGCTCCCGAGCCCCGCGCCGCCCCTGTACAGTGTGCTCCCGCCGGCCGGCCGGCTCCTCCCGCCGGCGCAGCCACGCAGCGCCGTCCTCGCTAGCGGTTAGTAGACCGGCTGGCACCATACAGTGTGGATGGACCGTTCCCGTGCCGGGCGTCGGCGCACCCCTTCAGCCAGCCATGCCTGCAACGGCGCCGGCCGGGCAGAGCCGCCGCTCCGCCCGCTCCGCCATCAGCCCGCTGAAACGCGCGGACCGAGCGCACCAGCGTGGACAGCCGCCAGGCGGCGCGGCTCCCGACGCCGTCAGGACCGCGCCGTCGCCTCCCTGCGTGTCTGTGGGAGTCAGTGTGTCGGTGTGGTGCGTAGCCGCGCCGTACCTACCTCTGTACTCGTCGTGGCCGCCCACGTAGCGCGGCAGCGGCGGCCGGCGCCGCTCCGGCGACGGGTCGCGGCCGTCGCTCAGCCGATCCGGGCTGAGCGAGGAGCGCGAGAGCCGGCGCGCCGGCGGCGACCAGTCTCTACCTGCGGCGCGGCGACCCGGCGGCGGGGGCGACGCGTAGCCGCGCTCCGAGCGGTGCGACCGCTCCGACAGCGGCGAGTCGCGCCCGTAGCGCGGGCTGTAGTCGTCGTAGCGACCGTCGGGCGGCCCCAGCGGCGTGTAGAGCGGCGGCGGCGGCGGCGGCAGGAAGCCCGGGTCGACGCCCGGCAGCGGCGCCGCCAGGAACGGGTCCAGGGGAGGTGGCGGTGGGAGGAAAGCGGCTGAAAGGAGCGGGTCGGACATGGGCTCGCCGTCCAGGCCAGGTGACAAAGCGCCCGTGCCGTTCGTGCTGAAAGCTGAAAGACCTGCCGCGGTCAGACTCTTCCCAATCGGGGGTACGGCCGACGACATGGCATACAGTACATAGCCGCCCGACGGCTGGAGCCTCACACAAGTTTATCAAGATACAAATGAAAGACACGCAAACACGAAACTCTAGCCATATTATTTTTTTTTTAGTAAAAGCGTCGCCACAAAACACAGTCAATACGGTGGCAGGCTTCGAATATGAACAGCAAACGTATTCATCATCAATCAATCATTAACAGAGCACCATCGGTCACAGAAGCACAGTAGAACTTGCAATACCCGCAATCCATGACAAAAGTTTACTAAGGCAAACGTTTACTCACACTGAAGATTTGCTTGCCCATTCACTAGACTGTTCTTCTCTTCCTCGGCCTTCGTTAATCTGCAAACGGAGCGGGTCGAGTGAGATCAACATACGCAGACCCCAAAAGGTGGCAAGGCAGCTCCGATCGTCAGGAGATGTCCGAGGCCCAGTGCCTGTACAACACCAGGCCTGACAGGCGCCACCGACGACCGACGCCCCCGACCCTCGGTACTCACAGGGCGCGGTACTGCGCCGCCTCTCTGTTGGCCTCCTCCAGCCGACGCTCGGCCTGGCGGCACGTGACCCAGCTCTCGTGAGCGCGCTTCTCCAGCGCCTGGATCTGGGAGCGGAACGAGCGCTCCTGGTCCTGCAGCCGGCAGACAGGCGTCAGTCTCCCGGCCGGGCGAGAGGCGCTCGGACGGCCCCGGCGGCCGGCGGCCACTTCACAGCACCACACCGACACTGCACTCTCAGCTGGAGAGCAGAGCCGGCCCGCTGGTCATCTCTGCAGTGTGGTACACGTGCGCAGATGGCGCCCACTCGGCTCGGGCTGTCGTGCCATGCACTGTTGCAAGCTGAAGCGCCTGCCTCTAAGAGCGGCTGCAGAGCTCACATCGCGCTCGTTCTCAGGCGCCGTCAGCACGTGCGGCACCGCACGCGCCTACCAAAGGCCACCCCAGTAGACTCGTGCGTTAAGCCCAGCGGACCGTGACTAATCATGAAAAGGCGGACCAGCGCGGCCGGCAGCGCACCTGAATCTCCTGTTTGAGCGACTCAATCAGCAGTTTGTTCTGTTCCAGCTGCTCGCTGTACTGGAGCAGCAGGCCCTGGTTGCTGGAGGCGTCTCCCTCGGTGTGATTGAGGCGCGACTTCAGCACGCCCATCTCCCTGTGGGGTGAAGGTGGCGTCTCGCGCTCACGAGGCACTCCAGTATGGGGTGAAGGGGGCGTCTCACGCTCACGAGGCACTCCAGTGTGGGGTGAAGGGGGCGTCTCACGCTCACGAGGCACTCCAGTGTGGGGTGAAGGTGGCGTCTCATGCTCACGAGGCACTCCAGTGTGGGGTGAAGCTGGCGTCTCACGCTCACGAGGCACCCCAGTGTGGGGTGAAGGTGGCGTCTCACGCTCACGAGGCACTCCAGTGTGGGGTGAAGGTGGCGTCTCACGCTCACGAGGCACTCCAGTATGGGGTGAAGGTGGCGTCTCACGCTCACGAGGCACTCCAGTGCGGGGTGAAGGTGGCGTCTCACGCTCACGAGGCACTCCAGTGTGGGGTGAAGCTAGCGTCTCACGCTCACGAGGCACTCCAGTGCGGGGTGAAGCTAGCGTCTCACGCTCACGAGGCACTCCAGTGCGGGGTGAAGCTAGCGTCTCACGCTCACGAGGCACTCCAGTGTGGGGTGAAGGTGGCGTCTCACGCTCACGAGGCACTCCAGTGTGGGGTGAAGCTAGCGTCTCACGCTCACGAGGCACTCCAGTGTGGGGTGAAGGTGGCGTCTCACGCTCGCGAGAAACTCCAGTGTGGGGTGAAGGTGGCGTCTCATGCTCACGAGGCACTCCAGGCAACCTGACACGGCCCTGTTCCACACTTGCACGCATTTAAACGGATGCCGGCAGTCACTGATAACTAACTTGATTTCTTTTGGAGGGCCAAACCTTTAGACGCAACAGTTTAAACTAGATTACTACGTTCAAACGTCTCGTCAATCAGCACGCGTCAACAAATGCGACTGTCTCAAGTCGAGCTTCGTCATCAATTTGCTTTTCATTGAAGGCCATCATCACACCCGATTAACTGTGAAGTTAATCAGTGAGCATACCACGACCAACAACTAACCCGTACCACATATTCCAGTAGTGAGACCCAGCTACTCGATGCTTTGGCCCATACTTGGCCCCGCTGCCTCGCTGGCAGCGCGCGAGGCACCACAGGCGGCGGCCGGCACTCACGCCTGGAAGGAGACCTCCTTCTTCTGGAAGTACTTCTCCAGGTGGTCCAGCTTGGACTCGGCCTCGAACTTGTCCACCTCGGCCTTCTCGCAGCGTTCGGACAGCTGCGTCAGGTCAGCGGCCAGTGTCTTCTCGGCCTCTGTCGGGCGGCGGTGGCTCCGGTCAGAGCAGGGTGCGGGTCAGAGCAAGGCTAGTGTGTCAGAGCAGGGCCAGTGTGTCAGAGCAAGGCCAGAGTGTCAGAGCAGGGCCAGTGCGTCGGAGCAGGGCCAGTGTGTCAGAGCAGGGCCAGTGTATAAGAGCAGGACCAGTGTGTCAGACCACGGCCAGTGTCTGGGCGGGGCTGGTGTGTGAGATCAGGGCCAGTGTGCCAGAGCAGAGCGTCGGAGCAAGGTCAGTGTATAAGAGCAGGACCAGTGTATAAGAGCAGGACCAGTGTCAGGGCAGGGCTGGTGTGTGAGATCAGGGCCAGTGTGCCAGAGCAGAGCGTCAGAGCAAGGCCAGTGTATAAGAGCAGGACCAGTGTATAAGAGCAGGACCAGTGTCAGGGCAGGGCTGGTATGTGAGATCAGGGCCAGTGTGCCAGAGCAGAGCGTCAGAGCAAGGCCAGAGTATCAAAGCAGGGCCAGTGTGTCAGAACAGGGCCAAAGTGTCGGAGCAGGGCCAGTGTGTCACAGCAGGGCCAGTGTATCAGAACAGAGCCAAAGTGTCGGAGCAGGGCCAGAGTGTCAAACCACGGCCAGTGCGTCAGAGCAGAGCCAGTACGTCAGAGCAGGGCCAGTGCGTCAGAGCAGGGACGAAGCGTCAGAGCAGGGCCAGTGCGTCAGAGCAGGGCCAGTGCGTCAGAGCAGGGCCAGTGCGTCAGAGCAGGGACGAAGCGTCAGAGCAGAGCCAGTACGTCAAAGCAGGGCCAGTGCGTCAGAGCAGGGACGAAGCGTCAGAGCAGGGCCAGTGCGTCAGAGCAGGGCCAGTGCGTCAGAGCAGGGCCAGTGCGTCAGAGCAGGGCCAGTGCGTCAGAGCAGGGCCAGTGCGTCAGAGCAGGGACAAAGCGTCAGAGCAGGGCCAGGTGTCAAATTCCGTGTCACTGCAGTAATTACAGCGGCTGCCGGAGACCTCGGGCTCTGAGCGTGATACATTGGCGGCTATCATCAGCACCACCATCTTCCATTAGGTCTGCACTTACCCTGAGCCTTCTTCAGCATCTCCCGCTCTGTACTTACCCTGAGCCTTCTTCAGCATCTCCCGCTCTGTACTTACCCTGAGCCTTCTTCAGCATCTCCCGCTCTGTACTTACTCTGAGCCTCCTTCAGCATCTCCCGCTTTGCACTTACCCTGAGCCTTCTTCAGCATCTCCCGCTCTGTACTTACCCTGAGCCTTCTTCAGCATCTCCCGCTCTGTACTTACCCTGAGCCTTCTTCAGCATCTCCCGCTCTGTACTTACCCTGAGCCTCCTTCAGCATCTCCCGCTCTGTACTTACCCTGAGCCTTCTTCAGCATCTCCTGCTCTGTACTCACCCTGAGCCTTCTTCAGTATCTCCCACTCTGTACTTACCCTGAGCCTTCTTCAGCATCTCCCGCTCTGCACTTACCCTGAGCCTGCTTCAGCATCTCCTGCTCTGTACTTACCCTGAGCCTTCTTTAGCATCTCCCGCTCTGTACTTACTCTGAGCCTTATTCAGCATCTCCCGCTCTGTACTTACCCTGAGCCTTCTTCGGCATCTCCCGCTCTGTACTTATCACGAGCCTTCTTCACCATCTCCCGCTTTGTACTTACCCCGAGCCTTCTTCAGCATCTCCCGCTCTGTACTTACCCTGAGCCTTCTTCAGCATCTCCTGCTCTGTACTTACCCTGAGCCTTCTTCAGCATCTCCCGCTCTGTACTTACCCTGAGCCTCCTTCAGCATCTCCCGCTCTGTACTTACCCTGAGCCTTCTTCAGCATCTCCTGATCTGTACTCACCCTGAGCCTTCTTCAGTATCTCCCACTCTGTACTTACCCTGGGCCTTCTTCAGCATCTCCCGCTCTGCACTTACCCTGAGCCTGCTTCAGCATCTCCTGCTCTGTACTTACCCTGAGCATTCTTTAGCGTCTCCCGCTCTGTACTTACTCTGAGCCTTATTCAGCGTCTCCCGCTCTGTACTTACCCTGAGCCTTCTTCAGCATCTCCCGCTCTGTACTTATCCCGAGCCTTCTTCAGCATCTCCCGCTCTGTACTTACCCTGAGCCTTCTTCAGCATCTCCCGCTCTGTACTTACCCTGAGCCTTCTTCAGCATCTCCCGCTCCTGTCTCCATTTCTCCTTCAGTTTAGCTCTCTCTTTCGTAAGCTTTTCAACCTGGGCCTTAAGCTTACTCCCATCCAGAAGTGCCTGAACATTTCCATCCGCTGCGAACAAACGAAAGACAAATATTATAGTTCGACACCGGCAAGCGCAACTCTATCGGCGAGCATTATTACGGACCCCAACGCACACCCCCCGTACTCGTTAAACACCAACGAGCCTCCCTAGTTACATACATTGCAAACCAGGCCAATGAACCGCCAACCCTTGTCGCCAGCCGGCTTCCCGCCAAAGCCAGCTGGCGACAGGTGGGGCACGCGGAGACGAGCCGCGGGCCTGACGAGGTGGACGGAGACGCGGCCAGATGGACGGTGGCCGGGGAAAGACTGGCCGACACGCGGCAACACCGACCGACCCGGGGTCACAGATGAAGGGCCGGCTGCCAGTCGGATCGGCAGCGGCTAGAGCCGGACTGGGACGGGTCGGAGGGCACTCACAACCGTTGTCGGTGCCGTCCTCGCGGCTCTTGAGCACGCCGCGCAGCGTGTCCAGCTCACTGACGAGGCCCTCAGACTGCGCGCGCGCCTCCTCGTGCTGTTGCTCCAGCTCGGCCAGCCGCTCCTCCAGCAACGACACCTGCCGGCCGGCGCCGCCCGGTGTCACAGCCAGCCAGCCGGCCAATCACAGCACGGATGCCCCGGACCGCAGTCACAGGGCACGAGTGTATGGAGGACTCGGCAACTCGACCTCCGCTCATCCAGCTGTGTGTAGGCGGGAACATTCAGAACATGGGCAGCAGCAATCATAACTCAAAAGGCAGCAGTGTGGGAAAAACCTCCGTTTTCTGGTGGATGTGGCACCAGGAAATTTTGTACTCCAGGCTCTTGACTGGTAAGAATGACAATTTTTGTACTCCAGACAAACGCTGCAGTCACCCCACAAAGCAGACACCATTGCAAATGTATGAGCCTGAGTATAAGTACCAAGGCAGACAGTTTTGCTTTCTTGATAGCCGGGAGGGTGCATGAACTTGGCTTTCATAAAGTGGGTTATAACTTTTATTCTATTTCCAGGGACCGAACATATGGAGCACCAAGAAATGGAAACAAGCATCTGCAATCCTGCAGGAGCTGGCCAATCCAGGGCATTTATGTCAATGTCCTTCATCATTGTATTACATGGGTTAGATGCACTTGTACAAGCCTATGCAACTCCTGAATGGTGATGACAACTCATGTGAATTACTTCTGTGGGAATGAAATAAACTGAAATATGAAATGTGCTTGTTTTAAGTACCTACCGCCGCCACATACCTCGCATGTCATTACCTGCGGGGAAAATATATGGCGCACCTGAGTAAGTAAGACCGCATTCTCCACGACGCACACACCTACCGATACCTTTCAAGAAACGGACAAACATATCACGGCTCCGGCTCCCACCACGCGACGAACCCATCGCCTCCCGTACCCGAAACCAACGGCACCCCAGCCTCCTGCAACTGACGAGTGCATTTTCGAGCAGTGAAGGTCCGCGTCGCAACAGACACCTACAACAATATTCGTTCGACCAGAAAATCACTGGCAGCACCAAAATCATCGATGGCACATCTTTTTCAACTAGGTCATTCAAAGACTCGCCGAGCAAGAAGTCCAGCATGCCAACTATGCTCTTAACTTACCTCATATTAAGATAACATGTTAGCGATTTTACCAAAGGACGTGCATCTTGCACACAGTTTGGTGGGAAAATTCCAAAGATTGCAGCATTGCACATCCTTTTCAAAGCGCCTGTTTCATTCCTGCTCCTGCCATACGAGCCACCAATCACCATCCAACTTGCAATTAAACTCAAAATCATAGCATTCAAACACACCACATATCGGCACTTTTGAGATGGAATCATGACATTAAATGGCACCCAAATATCACTTTGTGGGCGGCACTTTTGGTGGTAACGGCTTCTTTTGGGTTCTTAAATGTCATCGGGAATTACGTTCCCAAAATGGGAGTTTGTGGCATGCAGCATTCCAAAACTTATTACTATTGTATAAATGATAGTACGTCAACCACTTTTTCAGGAATCGGTAAATGCCGGTCTTTGAAGATTCGAGGATATCTTACTTATTGAACAACGGTATCATGTCTCCAGGCTCAACCAGTACCTATAATTGTAAAATAGAGATGGTCCATAACCCAGTGGGAAAAGTCGCAGTACTTGGTTGCCCTTCTCACAATGGGGCCTATGGGGAGACCCGGGGAGAACAAGCCAGAGTACAAGCCGGAGAACAGCAAGTTTTTAGCAAAGTTAGCCGAATTTAATTGAAAAATTTATGTGTTTTGGTATCGCCCAGATACGGGCCTTCCTAAGAGGGTGTTGAAATGTCATGATATGCCTTAGAATGAGAAATATCAATAGATTTATAGTACAGGTACTGCATTATCTCGGCGTTGTCTTGCGCCACCAGAAGATAATATATATTTGTAGGTGGAAAATAGCAACTTGAAATGCATGACTGTAAAGCTCTATGATTTTTCTACCACAAACTTAACAATTTGTGTTGGTGCAACTGCATAAATGGCTTTTCTTAGACTATTCATCACAGCCTGTCATTTCAGGACCGACCCGTGGTACTTGTACTTGGTTGCCCCATTGACGAGTGCTAGAATGCCATAACAATGTCTGTGAATGCGCCAGAACTCCTGTGCATGGTTTGGTTGTTTGTCTTGATGTGGTGGGAGTGAGGAGGGCGGAGGGTGAGTGAGGCTGCTTGGGATTATGTGCATCGTAGCTGCGAGTTTGAGGTATTCAGTGAGGCAAAGTGGAATTGGTTGTCTTCAATTTTCACACAGCATGCATCCACACTTCTAAAGTTACTTGGGATTTAGCTTTGGACCGCTATTAAGTCATTCCAAAAAAGGTAAATAAATACCGGGGACTGATCTATAAATGTTTACCGCTGCAGGCTGGTACAGAATCACCTTGGTATAACCTGCTCTACCTACAGCATGGTGGGCAGGTACGTAGGTACTAAGATATCTAGATACAACATTAATGCTAGGCTTGGGTTTCCCATGTGGGATCAAATATGAGGCTGGCCTCTTTTCAGCCTGTGGTTATAATTGCTATAACCTGACAGATGGCAATGCTGCCATGTTCCTTGCTGTCAGGCATAAGGTATTGCAGTGACACTATTAAAGCTGTCCCTACATAGGATCATAGGGAACTTGAAGAAGAGGAGAGGGATAACAGGAGGTGCAGGAAGAGAGGAGGAGCAGAAGCAGAAGTTTTGTTGTTAACCTCTCTAACTGTATATTTCTTATTAACATGTACCATTACTCGATCTTTGCATGCATAGGTGAGCTAGTAGCACTACAGGGATATGGATGGGATCAGTGTGGCACCCTCACTCACAAGGAGTGCTCTGTTCCACTGAAATGCAAAATTGCATGCTGACACTAATTTTTGCCAGAAAAACGTTGGGAAAATGTTGACCCATTAAAGGCAGTATGTGATGTACTCCAAGCAAGGCCCGTTGTGCAGACACTCATTCCACATTAGACAGACCTTTGCTTGCAGGCAAGTTTGTACTCCGACCACAAAAAATTGTACTCCGCCACCAGCAAAAAAAAACTAAATTTCCCACCCTGAAAGGCACCGATCACAAAATAGCATAAACCAAACGCGATTTTGGGGACATGCGGCGTATGCATATCCTGACGTCGTCGACGTTGTGGGAGGACGCGGATTGTCAGCACACAACCACGCCAGACGCTCCGTGGTGATGGCCCTTCCCTCAATCCACTGCCGCCAACCATCGTCACCGAAGTAAGTGTTGCATTTGCATCCCAGGTTAAGCGCACAAAGTAACGTTGTTTACCCAAGCACAAACCCAACACTGAATACGCTTCGAGAGCTGTTATCGCCCAACAAAACGGATAAACTCTTATATCTCTCCTGGCCACTCCCCAAACAGGACACCAGAGAGAGGACTGATCCCGGCTGCGGGCGGGGCGGAAGGGCAGCGGACGCAGCGTGCGGGTCGCATTGCCACTCTCCACACAGGGCGCCACAGAGAGCGCTGAGCCCGGCTGTGGGCGTGCGGGCCGCGTCGCCACTCTCCACACAAGACACCAGAGAGAAGACTGATCCCGGCTGTGGGCGGGAAGGCAGCGGCTGCAGCCCACGGACCGCGCCAGCCGAGCGTACCTTCTCCTGTGAGGCGTCGCGCTCGCCGGTAACGGCGGCGCACCGCTCGCTCAGCTCCGTCTCGCGCTGCGCCAGCTCGCTGAGGCGGCGCCGGTGCTGCTCCTCCAGCTCGGCGCTCACCTGGCTGCTGCTGCCCAGCTGCCGGCCACAGGACACAGGTCCAGATACGGACCGGCATGGCGCGCGCGACCCCAAGCTCGCCACAGCGGCGCCGGTCGCCCACCACGAACAGCGAGCGCTCCACTCTGGTGGGGAGTCGCGCCGCAGACGGCGCGGACGGTCCATAACGCTGCTCCCATGCCAACTAGATCTGTCGTGTCCCAGTCCTCACACGACACTGCTGAATAGCAGAGCTCCCCGACGCGTGCACGTCTGCGCCGCAATGTTCCACCCACGGACACTTCCATCGCCGTGTTCCTGGCGCGGTCGCGTCGCAAAGCCCTTCCCTCGTTGAATGAGCCCAATGTCCGGGTTCCCATCCTGGACAGTTGTTCTCAATCCCTTTCATCGGTCCAACGTCTGTCCGCAGTGATCACCTCTGCCAGCTGGGACTCCAGCTGTTTAATTTTTGGCCTGGTCTTTGACAGCTCCTCGTTGAGGTGCTTCTTGTCTTTCTTCAGCTTGTCAACTTCACCCATCAGCTTCTTGCGCTGCTGCTTCAGCTCCGTCTCCAGCTTGCTCACCGTCTCCACAATCATAGAGTCTAGCTGAGGGTTGTTTGCCTGAAACAGGGTTGACACACATAACATTCTGAAGCTTGCATGAAAGGAAGGCATGGAGGGGAGAGGGAGCGCAAAGCAGCCGGGGTAAGCAGCTTCAAAACGTACTTAACCAAATGCAAAATTGTTCCAACACCTACCTTTATCGCATCTCTGAACAAGCTGCTCCACCCACAGGGCACCACCGCCAACCGCCACGACACGACAGCATCTGCCGATGCCCACCCGACCCGGCACGTACCTGCTGCGAGCTGAGCATGGCCGTCTGCTCCTCGAGCACCTGCTGCGCCTCCTGCAGCTCCTGTTCGAGCGCGGCCACCTGGCCGTTCAGCTCGGTGATCTGAAAGCGGGCGTCCTCGAGCTCGTCCTCAGCCGCCTGCTGGTCGGCAGCGGCCGCCTGCAGCTTCGCCTGGCTGTCCACCGACCCACCCTCCACCAGCTGTCGGCGCCAGCGAGGTCAGGGCGAGCGACGGCTGATCGGCGGCAGACACGGGGCATGTACTCTGACACCGACCGCAACAGCTGCCAGCGGCCCTAACTGGAGGCGACAGACAGCACAGGGCACACAGTGGCACCAACATCACCAGCTGTCGGCAGTAAAGCATTGGGACTAGCATCGACAGCGGTCGGCCGGCCACGTACGCGATGTAACCAAACCACCCTCACCATAGAATGTAACTAAACTAGACAGCTGGCTGGCAAGTTATGACACCAGGTACCGTGAAAACCATTCCATTTAGTTCGCTGCTAGCACACCCAGTGCAGCAGCAAGCTTCGCACGCTAGCAGCTGACAAAAGAGCAAACTACAGCGACACTAACTCGCACATTAGTTGACAGCATACGGCCTGGGTGCAGAGGTATAAACTCCATCAATCAGTTCACAACACACTCAGCGGCAAAGTCACATCCAGCAGCAAATAACGAAAGGTTCAACGCGTACGATATCAGTAAATATGCAATGATAGTCTGCAACGCTGCGACAAATGGAGCTACGATGTTGTGACATATTCGTCTCTAATCAATTAACTCATCAATGCACTACCATCGTTTGTTGGACAGTCCACCTGCACAACGCCTGGGTGTACAGGCATCCCGGGAGCACAAGCCAGACCAGCTCCGGCAGCCTCGCCCCGTCAGTACGTCACCATTCTCCGACTGACCACTGGCATAACCTGCCCGGCCGGGCATTTGGGCATGATAACCATCACGCAGACACCACCACACCGCTATCATGACCAGCATACACCATAACGAGCACCACCGAGCCCGCGATCACGATAAAGGGAGACAGCGGCGCGCTGGCTAACGGCCGGGGAACGCGCCCAGTCTCGGCGCAGCTGGCGGGCTGGCTAACGGCCGGGGAACGCGCCCAGTCTCGGCGCAGCCGGAGCGCTGGCTAACGGCCGGGGAACGCGCCCAGTCTCGGCGCAGCCGGCGCGCTGGCTAACGGCCGGGGAACGCGCCCAGTCTCGGCGCAGCCGGCGGGCTGGCTAACGGCCGGGGAACGCGCCCACTCTCGGCGCAGCCGGCGGGCTGGCTAACGGCCGGGGAACGCGCCCAGTCTCGGCGCAGCCGGCGGGCTGGCTAACGGCCGGGGAACGCGCCCAGTCTCGGCGCAGCCGGCGGGCTGGCTGGCAGGCCGGCGCCTCGGACGCACCTGTTTGTTGGTCTGCTCCAGCTGCGCCTTCAAGGAGTCCGTCTCCTCCTTGTAGACTGTCAGCCGCTGGTGCAGCTTACTGACGGCCCGCTTTAGCGCCGCCTCGCCCCGGAACTGCTGCAGGGGGGGGGGGGGGGGAGAGGACGTCAGACGCCGAAATCTAAGGCACAGCTCAACCGCCCACCACTGGCAGCAGCAGAGAGATCTTTGATCCTGCTGGCTAAAGCGCAGCACCGCAGGGCGCATACCCGACGACCGCCGCTCCTTACATGTAACACGAGCATGATAGAATATATCCCGTGCGAGATAATCACCCTCCATAATCTCCGCTAACAAACACATTCCGTTCACTGCGCAGCGGACGGCGTCACGTACCGAGACCAGCCGTGTTCCGATGATCAGGACGACGAGCGAGAGCCCGACGGTGGAGAGCAGCACAGAGAGGCGCGCGCCGCCGCCGGTGGCGTCCGGGCCGGCCGCGTACCCGTCCAGCAGCGCCCACAGACCGGCCGGCAGCTGCCGAGCACGGGCTCCGTTACGCGGCGTGGCTACAAGGCATTCCGGGCGTCTGCGCCGGGCGTCACGTCTCAACGGGAGACTGCAGCGCGCAGCTCTGCCACACACCGGCCTTGTGGCGGGAGGCCGGCTACGGTCGGTTCCGCAAACACCATCACCACCGTCCTGTACCCGGACGGCACTCACACACCAGCCTTTATTACGCTGCGCTCGAATGGTACACGACCACTTCACATCCTTGAGGTCTCATCGTCAGGCAGCGCACAGCGTATACATTTGACTGATTCGTCCACCACTGCTGCGTGCAGCCGACAGTGCCATATCGAGTGCGAATAGCTCAAACACGATAGTGTGGGGCGAGTGCGCGGTGAACAGCAGCTGTGCACGCTTCCCCGTCCACGCTGGGAGCACCGCTCCGCCCGGCCATCACCACTCACCAGACCGGCGGCCACCTCCTCGGCCAGGCCGGCGGCGGCGCCCTGCTCCGGCGCCGCGTGCCAGGCGTCGCCGTACGCGCTCTCGCCGTACGCGCTGTCGCCGTACGTACTGGACGGCTGCGAGTACGGACTCTCCGACTGCGGCTCGGCGAACGGCTCGTCCCCGACCGGCGCGGCGTCAGTCTCGACGGCCGGCTCGGCGGCCGGGGCCGCGTACGACGGCCGGCGGTAGTCGCGCGACAGCGGGTCGTAGCTGGGCAGCGCGGTCGGGCTAGCGTCGCCTGGAACCGACCGCCGAAGTCGTGAGCCGGCCGCAGGCGCACCAAGCACCGACTTGGAACGCCTGTGAGCGGGACGGGGGAAGCTTTGAACAATGGATGGAACTGCTGAAAATCCGGACTGTGCTACAGTACGCAGTCGTAAGATGGAACAACATGGCTTGAAGCTGATTACCATCAGCTGGTGCTTCGGATGACACATATGAGGGATATAATGCAAGCCTCCAATGTTCCGACATGCCCCGATTGCTTGCTCCAGTAGCCTCACGTTCAGTTCATGCTCAACTACGGTGCATGCACTGCATACGCATAGCAATACGCGTGCACAGAAACCCTAAAAAACTGAGGTTCCAAGTGCGCCTGAAATTTGTGTGCATCGGTCAAACTCAGCATTACCCAACATTCGTCTCTCTTACCACAGAAGATGCCCGCGCCACCAACAAGCACGCCAACTATCGAGCCAGCATGCACCGACTGGCAGCCCCCCGCCGGCGTGCCGTGAGCGGGCCGGACGGCAGTGCGGGTGTTAGTGCCGGCGGCCGTGCGTCCACGCGGTGCGTCCCGGCCCTCACCCAGAGGTGGCCGCCTCCGCTTCAGCTCGCGCACCAGCCGGCGCCGCTCGCGCAGCAGGCCGCGCTCGGCATCCAGCCCGACCGACGCTGCAGCGGCCTCACCGGGCTCCCCACACTCCGACTCGGCATCAGACGGAGCTGTCAGCCGTTCCTCCGACTCAGGCTCGGCACCGTCCAACGACGCTGCCTCTTGTTCCTCCGACTCGGGTTGAGCACCGCCAGCTGGCGCTAAGTGTTCTTCTGCATCAGACTCGGCAGTGTCCCACGAGGCTGCGAATCCATCTTCCACGTCAGATTTGGCACCTTCACAAGCATCTGTTTGTTCATGCTGCCCAGACTGATCAGTGTCGGGCAAGGCTGTCGTCTGCCAATCCGACTCGGACTGGACGCCACCATCTGATTCTGTCCCCTGCCCGTCCGAGCCCGGCTCCGTCGTAGTGCGCTCCGACAGCCCCACCCCAACGCCGTCTGGAAGTTCCCCACCACCTGGGTTCTGATCCCCATCCAGCGCTCCTTGCGCGACCTCTTGTGTCCTCCCATCCACACCAGTCACACCTGCGGACATCAAGCGGTTCTCCATGTGTCCTGTTGTCACAGGCCGACTGTCTAAAGCCGCCCCATCGTCGTCCCCGTGCTGGCCGTCTAGAGCCGCCCCATCGCCGGCTCCGTGCTGGCTGTCTACGGCCGTCTCATCATCGGCTCCGTGCTGACTGTCTAAAGCCGCCCCATCGTCGGCTCCGTACTGGCTGTCTAAAGCCGCCCCATCGTCGTCCCCGTGCTGGCCGTCTAGAGCCGCCCCATCGCCGGCTCCGTGCTGGCTGTCTACGGCCGTCTCATCATCGGCTCCGTGCTGACTGTCTAAAGCCGCCCCATCGTCGGCTCCGTACTGGCTGTCTAAAGCCGCCCCATCGTCGTCCCCGTGCTGGCCGTCTAGAGCCGCCCCATCGCCGGCTCCGTGCTGGCTGTCTACGGCCGTCTCATCATCGGCTCCGTGCTGACTGTCTACAGCCGCCCCATCGTCGGCTCCGTACTGGCTGTCTAAAGCCGCCCCATCGTCGGCTCCGTGCTGGCCGTCTAAGGCCGCCCCATCGTCGGCTCCGTGCTGGCTGCCTAAAGACGCCCCATCGTCGGCTCCACGCTGCATGCCGCCTCGGTGTTGCGTGTCGGCTGTTGTTCGCTCTCCGCCCGGAGCAGACTGTGTGGTGCTCAGACCGACCGCTGCGTCGGGCGTGACCCCATCCGGCCGACCATCACCGCCTGGGCGCCCGTCACCCCCTCCAGTTCCCAGGGCCGAGACCTCCCGCACAGCCTGCCCCTTCGACAGGATCTCGTCACCGCCATGCCCCGGCATCGGCACCCCCTCGGCGGTGTCCTGCAGCGCCTGCCGTCCCGGCCCCGGGACCTCCGAGGCATCGCTTTCCCGGGCAGAGTGCCGTCCGGCGGTCAGGACGGGGGCAGGCGGCAAGCTGCCGTCGTCCTCCGCGGGCTCCGCTGAGCGCTGGTCCCCCGTCTGCGGCGCGACACTGCCCTCGTCGGCTGCTGGCGGGACCACGTTCCCGGTCGAGACGGGAGCGGGCGGCAAGCTGTCGTCGTCCTCCGTGGGCTCCGCTGAGCGCTGGTCCCTCGTCTGCGGCGCGACGCTGCCCTCGTCGGCTGCTGGCGGGATCTTGTTCCCGGTCGAGGTCCCGGCCCCAGGACCGACGGATTGCGCGTGCGGCTGAGAGGCGTCCACACCAGACGTCTGGGACCCCAGATGGGAGGCTGGCGAGAGCTCTACACGGGAGTCAGGGGAGTCCCCCTCACCGGCGGCCGGCGACGGCGCGGCCCGGCCGCTCGCAGACGCCTGGGACCCCAGCTGGGAGGCCGGCCAGTGTTCCACACGGGAGTCAGGGGAGTCCCCCTCACCAGCGGTCCGCGACGGCGCGGCGGTCAGCCCCGGCGGGCCGGGGATGCCGAAACCTGTGCGGACGGTGTGCTGGTCAGACCGGCGCGAGGGACACGCCTGTAGCGTCAACCGCCACCGCCACCGCCACCGCCACCGCCACCGCCACCACTACCACCACCACCATTATCGACACTGACACCGTCATCAGCCGATCACCAGGCCGAATTCAACGCCGCTTCCTCAGCCTGCGCGGGAGGACTGGCACCGATTACAGTGGAAGTACAGAGGATTGTGCACCTGGGTGGAGGAGGCGAGGGACATTATGCACTGTACAGATCACGAGAAAACATCCACTTACCCGACCACCACACAGCAACATACGGGGACGAACAACACCAAAGCACCTGCCCCGAGGACTCACTGCATCACCGGCTCAGCGCCCGTATGTCTGCTTTGGCCTGACCGCAGTATCACCGGTTGCAGGTACTCACCGGCCGCCGGCTGCTCCACGGGGTCGGTCGGCTGGTCTTCTGCGGCAGGAGAGGCCGACTCTGGCCCGGCCCCGGACGCCGCCCCCAGGCCCGGCTGCTCGGCGGCCGGGTCGGGCGCCGCGCCCGCATCCGGCGCCTCGCTGGCGGCAGCGGCCGAGTCGGAGTCGGAGGCCGTGTCGGCAGCGGCAGCGGAGGCCGTGTCGGTGTCAGAGGCCGTGTCGGCAGTGGCGGTGGCGACCGTGTCGGCAGCGGCGGCGGCGGCCTTGTCGGCAGCAGCGGGCTCGGCCAGCGGCGTCGAGCCGGCGCTGTCCACGGCGTCGGTACGCGGCGACGAGTCGGGAGCCGGCGGCAGCGACACAGCCGGCTCCTCAGTCGGGGCGACGCCGGCGCCCGGCCCATTCACCTGCACCACCGAGCCCCAGCCGACCGGCTGGGCCGCACTCCGCGGCGGCGCGTCCGCCTCCGTCTCGACCCCTGCCACCAGCGGCGGCGGTGGGGCGGTGGTCTCCGCCCGGTCCGGGACCGGCGTCACGGCCGGCGGCGGTGGCATGGCGGCGGGCTCCGCCTCACCCGGGGCTGGCGTCGTGGTCCCCGCCGGCGGTGGGCTGGACGACGGGGTCGCTCCGCCCTCCAGCGCCGACGACACGCCTCCGGCCTCGCCGACGTCCGCCGCGTCTCCCGCCACGTCATAGCCGAGATACTCGTCTTCGTAATCGGTCGTCATTTTATCGCCTGGAAAGTCTCCGCCGGTGGCTTCGACCTCCTCCCCGCCGTTTGCATGCTCTGCGCCCTTCGGCACCGCTTCCAGATCGGCCTTCTGCGAGCCGTCAGTCGGCGCCGGCTTGGCGTCCACGTTCGGACCTTCCGCCTTCTTTTCCGCAGCCATCTCCGGAGCGTCAGCGGCGGTCGGCGGCGTTTGGTGCGGCTCAGCAGCCTGCGATGGCACGCCGGCGGCCGGCTCCGCGCTCGCGCTGCCGAGGGCCCCCCGGAGCGCAGCGGCGCCGTCTGGCGACGGCTGCAGCTGCTGCGCCGAGGCACCCACCACGGTGCCGAACAGATTCCGGTGTCCGCCGCTGGCGTCCAAGCCCGGGGCGCCGCTCAGCTGCAGATGCGGGTGCTGCTGCAGCAGCTGACCGGCCGGCTGGAACGCCGCCGCCTGCTGCTGATGCTGCTGCTGCTGCTGAGCCAGCGACAGAACCGATGGCGTCTCCTGGCGAGCCACAGGCAGGTCGGCCAGGGGCTGATGCGCGGTGGGATGACCCTCACGTGACTGCGTGCTGTTCTGTTCGGGTGTGCTCGGCTCGATCCCTGGCTGTTGGGTGCCCCCTACAATCGCTGGCTGGGACTGTGTGTCGGGTTGGGACCCCACCTGGGCTGGCGTGGCACGATGAACCACCTGCTGGCCTTGTGTACTCTGCCCGGCCCCTGTTTTTTCCGGCGTGTTTGGCAACACTGGGGCTTGCTGTTGGGTGTAAGGCAGAGCGTCTGGTTGCTGCTGCAACTTAGGCTGGGTTCCAGGCTGCTGTTCCACTGGCTGCTGTTGCATGCCTGGTTGGACCCCTGGCTGCTGTTGCATGCCTGGCTGGACCCCTGGCAGCTGTTGCATGCCTGACTGGACCCCTGGCTGCTGTTGTATGCCTGGCTGGACCCCTGGCTGCTGTTGCATGCCTGGCTGGACCCCTGGCTGCTGTTGCGTGCCTGGCTGGACGCCTGGGTGCTGTTGCATGCCTGGCTGGACTCCTGGCTGCTGTTGCATGCCTGGCTGGACTCCTGGTTGCTGTTGCATGCCTGGCTGAGCCCCAGGCTGCTGTTTGACAGCTGGCTGGGTGACCGGCTGTTGCTGGCTGGCCGCGAGCAGCTCCGCCTGCTGCTGCTGCCGCCGCTCCCGCAAGGTACGCAGGTACTTGTGATGCCAGTCAGGGGCACGCGTTTTCAACTTCACCTTGCGGTCGCGCCACTCGTGGCTGTACGGATACAGGGGTGTGGCCGGCCGGGCGGCCGGTGGCGGCGGCGCGGCTGGCCGCGGACGTAATGCCTCCTCCACCTCCACCAGCTCTGTTGCTCTCTTTTCTATTCGCTGCTCTCGCACAAATGTCTTGGGTACATAACCTCGGACTCCATTCACCTGTCAACACAAAGAGCTTGGCTTAAAATCATCCTTGGGGTTGGTTGTTCTGTGGTTCCACATTGAGTAAGGCATCCTTTTCTTACTGAATGTGTCTGCCCTGGAGTTGTTCATCATGCTCTGACTGACATAGGCAGAGAACAATTTGGTCACATCCAACCTATGCATACAATAAACCTAACCTAAATGTCAATGCCTTCAGGCTTGAAGATGCATGGCAAGCTCAGTCAGGTTAAGCAATATTTCAGAGGCTTTTCTTCAAGCAATATCAAGCTAATGGTGCAAGGTATTAAGTCCAACATAGAACAAGACATACCCTAGACTTCTTGCAGCTTTTTCATGCTAATGTATACCTAACCAGGAAAATCTATACAGCTGTCAAAAACAAAATGCTGCAAAATTACAAAACACCAGATCAGTGTTGTTCCATACAATGCCACTTACCTCCACACCTAACAAACTGGGATTGTCTCCAGCTGGGTAGCTGTATATGATGACCCTGTCATTGGGCTTCATACTGAGCATTCCCTTCTCCCTTGCTGCATAACGCATCAGGGAAAACCCGTGTGATACAGGAACTGTGGAAGAGATAGCCCAATCACTAGTTAAAGGAATGGAGCACATGAAAAGTTTTCCAATGCCACTTTTTATATAACATTCATGGATACTTATTCTAAAAGGCACCTTTTCACTCACAACTAACACCAAATAAATTATTGCCATTTTTATACATCTTTAGTGATAACTTTATTCACTGGAACACTGTCATGCAGGCACAACTACAGAGCAAATGTCTCTGACAAAAACAATGTGTAGACAATAACAGTTCAAAACTAATGCAAGGTAAAATAAAAACCTTTGCCAAAAAGAAAGTTGTACTATAAAAGGGCTAGCATGAAGTAAATCCCAAATAGATTTAGCCCAAAACCAGTGTGGAAGTCTTGTAAGTGATGGCAGTAAGATGAACAAAAAGCTGCAGCAGCATTTTACCACATTGAAGTCCTCTGATTCAAAATGTTAACTCTCCGCCTTAGGCTTCTATCAAAAAGTGACATGCTTAAGCATTGATGATGAAGTTGCCATCTTCACTTTTTGTGAAAGATTCACATTTTGTACGACAAGCCCGGCCCATATTTTGCTGCCAATACAGCAAAATAATTCCAGTTTCAGTAATGTTTACACAAGCAGCATAACTCCAGTATTCTTTGCCTAAAAAATGTGATGTACCTGGGGTCCATGCAACATTTTACTTTTTGAGACCCTTGCAATATTTCATGCTGGACCTAGTATCACCAAATTCATTTCAACTATCAGCCATATTTTGTGAGGCTGACCTACATCTAAATATATACTGAAACATCCTGATTTTTATGGCAAATGGCATCTAAAGGAAGTTGGTTTCTTACTTATAACATTCATCCATGCTTTCTGTCACTGCTCACAAGGTGTAACTTTAGCTAAGTGGAGATGTAGTGCTGCACTCATTATGCATAGCAACCATTGTATCCTGCATCAAAAACAATATTCCTTAGATGTGCTATCATTTTAGCTCAGGCCACATCAGTTAAGTACTAAATTCCAATCCTAAGTACATGTACCATTAACATGCATCCTTGATACATCTAAGCATTACATAACAATAGGAACTATCATGAATAAATATAAAAATTCATCATAGCCAGTGCTCTACTCTAGAAATACAGGAGGTATGCACAGCAAAAGTATAGAACCATTCATCTCAAGTGAACAAAAAAATATGCTGTAACATATGTTGACAGGGACACTTTTCCCTAAATGCTTTGTGTGAGGTAGTTGCAACACTAGCACCAGTGAGCAACACATAAATAACTTTCATTGAACTTCAGAGATGGTGTATCATCAAACATTCATTAATTCACCTACATGCACCGAGTAACAACAAAGTGAGAGAGCAGCACAAGGCATTTCCGGCGCAGCCAGCAGGCATAACAGCCCACTAAAATAAGTCAGCAAGGAATACCACTTACCATTGCATTCTAAATTTGCGCACAATCTATGGCTTGATAATTTCGAGTATATGACACCTATATTACACACGAGAACTACAAAATACAGAGCCCACACACCACGGCACCACTCCATGATCGTGTGTGCCCTGTTGGAACAGTGCTTCCACATTATGTTTGGCAAAATAACAAGTGAAGTGAAAGGATTTCAAGGTTGGCAGTCCCAGCGCTAATCTTCACTACGGTTTTATCTCGTAACATCATTGGCAAACTGACACATTATCGACCACAATTCATTTGCCCTCCATCCACTCGGTTCCGCCGCCATAAGCCAATGTGTAGAGCTCAACTAACGCAAAAGTGGACAACATGCACTTGACAGCCAAAACAGTAGTCCAGAACAGATCTTAATGGTCTTCAGACTGCATCTGCAAATGGGTTTCAATTTATGTTTGCCTTCTTCGCCATAAAATTTCTGCAGGACTGCAAAGCAGGCTGATGCTGGATTTACTTAGGGGTGTCATCGTGGGATCTCCCATTGGCGAGATGCCGGGCGGCTCAGTACAACGTAACGACCCATCTGACACCAACGACCTTTCAGCCTTTTTACGCTTACGATCTTTCGGCTGTGAGCAAAGCGACCCTTCTAACCAACTTTCGAAACGAAACGAAAAATGACGAAACGGAACGAAATGAAGGTTCGACGCAGTCCAAAATTGTGTATCTTTTAGGATGAATGTTATTACACTTTGCTACCATATCACAGCTCACTATATATAAGATAACATGGCGCGCTTGAGTCGAATCAGGACAATGCAGGTTTGCGGAGCCAGGGTTGCCTTTTAAGGGTTCCGGACAGCCAAACTCTCGGGGCACGCACGAGTCCTCAACAGCAGAAGCGATAGCTGTTCCAACAAGCCACGGTGTTCAAACTGTCCCCTTTCTCATTTGTTCGCTTGTTGCACCGGCGGCCCGACCGCAGAGCCGGGCGTGGAGGCTGTGCTGCCGACTCCAGACGCAGGAGTGGCCCTGCTAGCCGGTAAACAAGGGGAACGACCATAAACAACTGAATGCTCACAGTTGACACTTCAAGAACGGATGCGAACAATTGCTACATGTTGGAACTCTGTTGTTGTTGGTCTTGTGGCGCCACAAATGGACTGGCTTGGCACGGAAATAGATGACAGTGCTCCCACCTTTCTTCCATTTATTGGCCTGTTACAATTGTGATGGCTGGTCCCACCCATGCTAATTTTATGTAATATGATTGGTATGTGAACGCTTCTCTGTTGTGTGTTTATGGTGTCACATGAAAGCTATGAATGACTCACTTTCATAATCATTAACTCACATTTGTTCTTGAGGAGCAATATATCCCAGGCATCCACACACTTTAGGGTGTTCTATAGGTCTTATGACACACCTTTATGTATACTTGTTTATATGTACCAACTGTAGCAAACATGCACCCATAAACTTGTGCTTTTTAGCACTGTGCAAATCACAGTCAATTAAAATTACCCATTTTGTTGATTGCAATAGCCAGACTTCTATCCAAGCATATGGCCACTGGGACAGTACATATATCATGCCATTCCTAGTGTAAGCATGTGCAGCATGTCAATGTCTCTCTGCCTGGTTAACTCAAAAGAAAGGTGGGTTGTGGCCTTGGGCAACTGGTATGATGTTACTGAAGATCCAGATGCAACTTCTTCAGACTCCTGCTCTATTAGCATGTGTGTCAGCCCCATTTCTTGTGTTCCCCCTTTAAGCTGCTCCAAAATATAGTGCCCTGCTGTATGTGTTTGCTGGCCCATGCATATATACTTCAATTTTTATATGATGTGGGCTAGAAGCAATCACATATAAGCCCTACTGCCTTCTTTTATAGGTTGTTGAGCTTCTGCCTTCAATAAGTTATGGAGATCATTGAAAGAGATGTTTCATCTGCTTGTGTAAAGGAACCAAGTGTGTCCAGCCAGCAGGGGTTCCCGAATATTGTGGCTTGTGATATAGAGGTAAGGAGATGAGCCAAATGTGAATGAATTGGTTGTTTTGTGATCAACTTTTCTGTTTAGCTAATGCAAATGTTATTCATTACAAGTTTTAATTACTGATCCCTGATAACTCCATTCAGTATTTACCTATGCTGCTGATTGTTATTAAGGTTGTTGCACTCATTGCTTTGTTATATTGCTCCATGCCCACTTTGCACCATCTGTTTTGCAAAAAATACCAAGAAAGACAATATGTCCATGTATGCTTCTGGGAGGCAGACAGCCCCCTCAAAAGAAGATGATGGCATTAGCAATCTGTGGAAAGAATAACTTCAAGGCCTTGACTTGCAGTGCAGGCCACCTCTCCCCCTTTGGTATCATTTTTGGAATGTTTCATACATGAAAGAAAGCCTAATAACTCAGTTGTTGAGGCAAAAACAAGAGTTTTGTGCTTACACAATATTTCTTTTTTTCCATTTTAGGCAGATCAGCATGCCAAGTCAGCTCCTGCAACGGGCAGCAAGAGGAAGAGTCTGTTTGCTCGACAAGCAGAGAAACGAAAACAAGAACACGAAAGAAAACCCTCAGCTCCTGTTAGTGGCATCACATCCACATTTGGTAAGCAGTGCAATAAACTAAAGGTTTGCAACAGCTGATATATGACATCTGGGGCTGAGTGGGGCCTCACATGAACTGTGGTGTCAAATCAGTCTGGCCAGAGTACATTGTATGGTACACCAGAAGCTATCAGTGCTGCATCCACTCATCATGGACTGAGTAGTTTTCAGCAACAAGGAGCACAATTTTTGAAACATAGTGCTGTTTAGTGTTTGATTTGTACTCTAGTGAAGGGTGAAATTGGCCCAGTTAGCCTTTGTTGTGCCATTTGAAATATATAGCTGCCAGATGAAAAACTACCAGAACGGCTGTTTGCATCTACCGAGATGAAAGCAAAACGTTGAATAAATATGAGCCTGCCACGTCGGTCGGCTACTGTTAACAGCCTGGCAAAGCTGGAAGAGGGGCTCCAGGCTGCACGGGTCCCGGCAATAAACAGAACTTAGGCCCCGCCCAGCGGCAAGCCATTGTGAGTCAGGCCATAGTGATTTGAGCCAAGCTGAAATGCTACAAGGTCTGTACAGAACATTGACATTTGTATTCTAACCTTATCTCACTCTGTGAAGAGAAAACGTTGCAGCAGACTCTCGTGTTCACTTTTTGGATGCAATGCGATCATGCAAAACCCTGAAAGCATTATTCCAAAAATGACGTAGGAGGCGGTTTCACGACAGTCAGCAGTGACCTATGATATGGTTTGTCTGTTCCCACAATCACTGCACAGTCTTTGTAAAACAAACTTGTCCCAGTTGTGCCATTTATTGTTAGTACCATTTAGTAGCATCTTTTACATCCACATTTTCACTCATACTTTCTACTGTAATTTTAGCTGGAGTGTCAGGAGTCTTTGTGGTTGTCTTATCACGTGTGAATGAAATTATGTTGGGTGCAAACTTGCCACAGAAAGTCAAATTAAAATCCCCAAAGTCGAAGACAATGCCCGTGGGCTGTTAAGTCAGAACGCATGCACAATCCACGCACATGTCCGTACCCCGAAAATTTAGGCTTGCGCTTCGGAACAGTGTCGTCTGCCCTGCGCACGACGAGCCGAAAATGGCACCGAGCAGAGCGGCGCGTGCCGCGGCTGTCACGGGCGGCGTCCGGCCAGCGTCGCGCGGCGTTGGCGGCGGCGCTACCACTGGCTGAGGTCGACGGTCGGGATGGCCCGGCTGTCGCAGTCGGTGACGGCGTTGGCGGCGGTGTCGGCCACGCGGAAGGCCAGCGGCTGAACGCGCGTGATGCCGTCCACGTTGTCGCAGAGCACGCGCGCCCAGCTGGTGCGGCGCACCTGAGCCAGCTGCGCCCCGGTCAGCTGCCACGGCCGGTCGCCGCCCAGGTCGTAGAAGAAGTTGTCGCCGTGGCGCAGTCGGATGAACTGGTCACCAATGAGACGGCCGAAGGTGCGGCCCAGCGCCACGCCCGGCAGCGGCCGCTCCAGGACGCCGCCAACGAACATGTCCACGTCGTCGACGTGTCCGTAGGCGGCGCGCAGGGCGGTGATCGCCTCATCGGGCAGGTCGGAGCTCAGGTCCTCCCAGCGCTGGGCGCGCGGCAGACCGGCCGCGGCACGCGCGTCGTTGTACGTGGCCAGGCCGTGGTCGCGGCCGCGCTGGATATTAAGCGCCACCAGGTCGAGCCCGTACGCGTCGCCGTCGCCCTGGAACAGGTGTTCGGTGAGGTCCTCGGCGAAGTAGCCGTCCAGCGCCTGCGCCTGCTGCGCGACCAGGCCTCGTGCCAGCTCGTTGAGCCGCTCAGACGAGTAGAGCAGGTGTGGATCGAAGAAGAAGTCGCGCAGCAGTACGCTGGTCGCGCTGCCGCCCAGCGCGCTGAACATTTTGAGCGTGCCGGACACCATGCTGTGGCCGAAGCGGAACGCGGCCGTGGCGAACTCGTTGCTGATGGACGGGTTCAGCGTCGACATGTACTTCTCCGAGTGGGCAGTGCCGGTGCCCGGCAGCAACTCGTTGCGGGTTAGGAAGTCGGCGTCGAGCAGCGTCGGCAGCCATTCGTTGTAGGTGATGTGCTGCATCTGGGCGACGACAATGCGCCGCGCCTCCTGGAAGAGCCGCTCGTCGTCCCAGGTTGTGTGCCGCGCCGCCAGCGCCGACGCCACGCGGTTGTGCTGGCGCATCCAGATGGTGTGCGTCACCGTCAGGCTGATCTGCTCGTTGACGCGCACATCGCCCGCCTCGAAGCAGACGGTGGTGGCGTTGATGCAGCCGCCGCCCTGGGAGTCGGCCGGCAGCAGGCTGCCCGGCTGAGTACGCAGCCAGCCGCCGCCCAGCTGGCGCAGGTGGCGCTGGTGCGCCTCTTCCGAACCGTACACGTTCGAGCCGTCCAGGAAGTGGGAGAGGACGTTCTGCTGCTGCGCGTCGCGCGTCGCGCCGCACGTCGGCGCCGGCGCCGGCAGCGAGCGCACGAAGTCCATGCAGGCCTGGCCCAGCGGCCCGTAGAACGGATCGGTCGTTGGGATGGTGATCGGCAGACACTGCGGGTGCAGCTGCTGCGCCGGCAGCGGCAGTCCGGCGTCCGTGCAGCAGGCGATGCCGGCGCCGCCGTCCAGCGAGAAGTGCGGCGTCAGCATCAGGTCGTGGTCGACGAACTGGCCCCACTGCATCACGGAGAGCGTGAAGCGGGCGTCGGGCACGTCCTCGCTGCGAGTCACCGCCTGGCTGACGACGCGGGCCGACGGCAGCTGGCCGCCGGCGGCGGAGCGCGAGCGCGGCTCGAACACGCCGTCATCGTACCGACTGGGCAGCAGGCGGAGCAGCGGCTGGCCAGCCATGCCCAGTTGCCGGTTCTCCGGGTTGTTACAGGAGCCGTCCTGCGTGCGGAAGCTCGGCTGCGATGGACATGCGGGTGTGGTGGGCGCCGGGCAGCCGGATCCCGGACCGGGACCTCCGCCGCCGCCGCCGCCGCCGCCGCCGCCCGAACCACCGCCGCCGGTACCGCTGGGGTGTCGGTTCCGCTCCAGCTGGAGCAGCGCTAGACGTGCACTGTTCTGTTGCTCCTCCCTGAAGGGAAACTTGGTGCGGTGGCGGCGCGCCGCACCACGGGCAACACTGCCCTGCTCCAGCAGCCGGCGCTCCAGTTCGGCCTGCCGGCGCAGCAGCATCTCGGGCGAGGGCCGGCCCGGCTCGGCGGCGGCGGGGGCAGCGGCTGGGGCGGCCTGCGCCCGGATCAGACCTGGCAGGGCTCCCAGCACGGCATTCGGCGGCGGCCGGCAGCATACGCCGGCTGAGCCGTCCGCCAGTTGGCAGCTGCTCAGCTCTGGCTGGCCGGCCGGCGCCAGCGGACAGAGCGCTGCCGGCTCGCACTGGCAGCCCGTACTGCCCGTGCTGGCTCCGCCGCCACCCCCGCCATCCCCGCCGCCTCCGCCTCCGCCGCCTCCGCCGCCCCCAGGCCGGCCGCCGCCGCCTCCACCTGCGCCGCCTTCCCCGCCGCCTCCGCCTGCGCCGCCTCCCCCGCCGCCTCCGCCTCCGGGCCGGCGGCGCCTGTCGCCCCTCTGACGTGCGGCGATCCCGACTGTCAGCTGACAGCCGACCAGCACCACCAGCATCTGGTGCACAACGACGAACGGTATGAGGGCCATATTGTGACGGACAGTGATGACAACGTCGCTTTTGCAAGAAAACGCAGGCTGCGCTTGAGGGAGAGGATACTTAGGGACCAGAGAGCAACAAAGCATCAGGATAATTGTTTTTTTTCTGTCCGGCTCCGTCCGCGTAGTTGCTGTAGCAGTCATGGTCCCGGGCACATGTTGGCGTGCAGTAACAGTACAGGACAGTAACAGTGCAGTAAGAAGGGTGTTTGTATTACTATGTAACGTTTCAGTGGTTCAGCCAAAGCCAACAGACAACATAGGCACAATTATGCATCACAAGAATATAGGAAACCCTCGTCGCCTCGGTTCAGAACTACAGGTCTGCTACTCTTGCTGAAAATGGTAGTTTGTTTTATGGAACATCTATATGTAGTAGATACGATATATAAATACACACACACACACGCACGCACGCACGTACGCACGCACGCACGCACGCACGCACGCACGCACGCACGCAGGCACGCACGCCCACACACCCACACCCACCCACACGCACACGCACACGCACACGCACACGCACACGCACAGCACACGCACACGCACACGCACACGCACACGCACACGCACACGCACACGCACACCACACACACACACACACACACACACACACACACACACACACACACACACACACACACACACACACACACACACACACACACACACACACACACACACACACACACACACACACACACACACACACATTGCAACTAGCCGTGCTTGACAAGGGCTTTGAACACGAGGTCATTCCTGAACAATTATTTGTTCAACTGTTGTTGCAAGTTATCGCGGCCATTGCAGCTGGTCCTGGAAGATTTGATGCTGAATCCGCATGTGCCGATGCGTGCATGCGTGCATGCTCGTGTGAATGAGTAGGTATGTGCGTGCGTGAGGACGTGCGTGAGGACGTGCGTGCTTTGGTGCATGCATGCTTGCTTCAGTGTGTGTTTCGGTACGTGCGTGCTTGGATGCGTGCGTGCCTGCACGCGTTTTTGCATGCGTGTTGTGGAATCGTTCATGACGTTAGGCGCATGCGTGCCTCCACAATCTGGTGAACTACACTTCGATCCTAGAACTGCAATCACAGGGGCTGTCGCCGATCAAAACGGCTCTGTTGGAGCACAGTCCACGGCTCGGCTAGCCGCAAGCTGGGTGGGGGCCGTGCAAACCATGATCCCAAATACTCACCACTGCCGCTGCACAACGCATCTTGGCTGCTAGAGGCACGCTGGCACAGCGTTGTCGTCGCCGGGGAGCGTCGTAGCTTTATATACGACGGCGGGGGCGGCACGCACATGTGCCGCCGTCCGTCTGTCCTGCATGTCACGCACAGCCCGCTGCGGCGGCACGGCCCGCCCTCCGAGGCGCAAGAGCGGGGCCGGCCACGCGGCCGCCGGCGCACGCGGCCGACAGCCGGCGCCGCTGGTCAGCGTGCGCACCCGCCGGCACACGGATAGGGCGCCTGTGGTGTTAAACGAGCGCTAGTTGGCGCTCAAGACGAGCGGCCGCACTCATAAGGCATGAGCTGCATTTAGATTGTACCAGGGAGGTGTGTTTCGGCTGGGTTCCAGTTGAATTATCTGATGCATCAGTGATTCTGCTGGATCGCCCAAGCTCCATGTGATCCTCCGCCCACTGTTTGGAGTTGTTACTACGCCTTTGCTCCGATGTAGAGCACACTGCTCATGCTGGTTTGCCTCTTTCATTGTCCTCGCAACACCTGTCGTGTTGAGACAAATGAATGTATGCAAATTGTACTTGTTGGCAGACAAAGGAAAATGACGACGTATATGGTAGCACTTGTTTGCAGATAAGAGGAAAATGGCGACGTATTTCCGTATTTTGTATATCTTTTCAGCATTATGAAGCGTGGAATAAGGAATGCCCATGCAAGAGCGAGTTTTTAAACTTGATTTGGGATTAAGGCCACATCGTAAAGCATAACACTAAAAATTGCCACCCCTGCAAGCGATGTCCAAATAACTCATTCAAGGATCTCAAGCGATGTCCAAATAACTCATTCAAGGGTCCAATTTCGTATTCAGCTTGGGATAGCTTCAATCCTTCCCCCCACCAACTGTTGGGTGGCCCCAGCCAGCCAACTTTGGGATGAAGGTGGACCAAATAAATCCAGGGAGAAACACGCTTGTTGGGTATATTGGGGGCAAGTCGAGCCATTTTACACAGTTCATCCTCCCAGCTCACTTTGCGAAACTACACCCCTGCTTTCATTTGTACCCCGTGGCCTACTTTTCTTGACGCTTGTGTTCTAACTGACTCTTTCATTTGGCTACATTCACAAATAATTTTGCACTGAAGAAAGGCATTCTCGCCCATGTCTGGCGGGCGCTGATCAGGACGTGAGTGCTCTGGCGGCCGCTGATCAGCGCATCGCGTTCTGACGCGTAGACGGCGGCTGCGCTCTGGCGGCCGCTGATCAGGGCGTTCTGTTCTGACCCGCAGACGGCGACAGCGCTCTGGCGGCCGCTGACCAGGGTGTCGTGTTCTGACCCGCAGACAGCGGCTGTGCTCTGGCGGCCGCTGACCGGGGCGTCGCGTTCTGACCCGCAGACAGCGGCTGTGCTCTGACGGCCACTGATCAGAGCGTCGCGTTCTGACCCGCAGACAGCGGCAGTGCTCTGGTGGACGGCTCCGGCTTGGGCTCAGCTCATCAGGCGATCAGCATCCACCAGCAGAACGTGGCCGCTCTGGTGGCCATGTCCGAAGAAGAGCGACTCAACGCCCAGCGCGAGCTGGCAGCCAGTCTGGATCCCAAACTGATGGAGTTTGTCAGGCAGCGGAGAGCCCGGCAGGACCAGGAACGCGTCAAGAGGCCGCCCCTCGCTGCCGGTGATGGGCAGGCGTCGGCTACCGCGGAGCAGCCCATGGAAGAGTTCACCACGCTGGAGGCGGGGGAGTCCGAGATGGCGGCGGTCACAGACTCGCCGGCCGCGGGGCGACTGCCGGCGCCAGCGCCGGAAGTGGGCGAAGACCAGGCGATGGAGCAGCTGGAACGGGTGAAGGATCAGCTGCCCATCGACCTGGCCGAGGCCAGGAAGTGGCCGCACATGGATCACGTCGAGCCGGAGAAGCTGCTGTGGATGACGCAACTGCCGGCGCCGAAGGTGGAGCACGGCCAGACCGGCTTTGTCGCCCGCTTCGACTTCGAAGGTTGGTGGGTGGGCAGTGCCAGACGGATGACACTACATGGCCCTGCAGAGCGCCGGCGTCTGCGCCCGTTGAGAGCGAGGGGAGGGGCGGAGCGGTTTGATTCACAAGCGAATTTCACGACATCTCGTGTCTACCGGGAAAGGTACCTCTTGTCTCTTTGTATGTAAAGAATGCGTAGCTCATGCCATGGTGCACCACTTCCGCGGAGCACAGTCGACTTTATGTTGAAGATCAACTCATTTTCTTAAGCTGGTTGTCGGGGTGTGTCCATTGTCGTGTAAATGGACAATGGACATAGCTTTTTGTCGAGGTTGGGGTCTTGTTTTATTGAAACAATGTGTTCAGGTAGTGCGTGGTAGCCCACATGGATTATTTCAGGATAGCAGGATAAAGTTGACGAAGCACAGAAGGCTTACACTCGGAGCTGTATTACGTTATACTCGTAGCGTTGGCTTTTGACATTGTTCTTTGCATACTTCTATATCTTCCTGGGCTTGGAAGGTAACTTATTACGAGTCACTTATGCTGCTTTTGCTGACGTACATGTAAGATTGCATAAACTTTCAAAGCTTCGACAGCTTCATTTTCGTTGTATATTAAGCGTTTGTTTTACAATTTGGGAGCACGTTTGCCACTTACTGACATATCCACTGCGGAAACGTTAATCTTCGACGGATGAGTTTGCAGCACCGCCTACGCCAATGCGTTTGACACTGCTCACGAGATGACCCCAAAAATAGGCTCTGACAGCACAGGGACTGAAAGGTTCCCCGTGGAAATCCAGGGTTCAGAAGGAGCACACGAAGAGGGTTAACCGGCTTTGCGGAGGTCCGATGGCTGCTTGTCCCACCCGCACCTGCACCCGCACCCGCACCCGCACCCGCACCCGCACCCGCACCTGCACCCGCACCCGCACCCGCACCCGCACCCGCACCCGCACCCGCACCCGCACCCGCACCGAACACTGTCGAGTACAAAAAGCATGTGTTGCTGGTCCGCGTTAGTGCGCGGCAGCGCCCATCGTCGCGCCGCCGCTGAACTGCAGCACTTGTTGCCGAGCCGGAGGGCTGTGGAGTGTACACACCCACAGCCGGAGCCGCTCCGCCAGCTG